AAACATTGTTTATTTAGTCTCTTATCAACTTCACTCATTCCTTTTATAAATTATACGTATTTTTTAAATTTAATCCAATTCCAAGTCATTAATTAATAGGATTTAAAAAATATTATGATGAAGAGCTTAATAAAAAAATAAGGATTCGTGAGGAAGAAACTTCAACTGTGGTGCTATGTTTAATTTCCAACGCGTTCTATCAAAAATGCTAATATTTTTACTAATTTCTATGTATTTATTTTTTAAATTTAAAGACGTAACAGTTGAGTCATTGGACGATCTAATGCAATATTAGAAAAAATAATTTTAGCATGAAGGATATCTGTGGCGAAAGGTCACATATATTTCCAAGTAAAATATTAAAATGACTTGTGTTTTTGAAGCCTTCACAATGATTATTATTCTAGGCAGGTAGCGGAATACCAAGGTCAGAGGTCGAGGAGATGAGCATCAGCGTCACACCATAATTACTATGTACTTACTTCCCGCCCTGACATGGTACTATGTGTAATATTGTAGACAATATTACTGAGGTTTTCAATTACAGCAGTAGTTTTCAGTAAAATTTACGTCTAGTGTTTTAGCATTTTCAAATATTATCGTACTTAAACAATACTATTTTCATTTTTTAAATATTCAATAGTTTTTCATATTAATTACGAGACTAGTAACACAGTATAAAAATACATAAAGCCTAGTGTGGTACGCCATTATTATGAATCATTTTCACCTGTATTATTAAGCGACTTTGTACTTCGCGGAACATATAAGAATACATATAATGGTGTAATCTTACCTACCCTTCATCCCTTTTCTTTGCCATAATCGGTTAAAAACATATACATATATCATTAGGCTTCTGTTTCCATATTAAAAATTGGTGTAGCATCGATCAATAAAGGGAAGTGAAAATTTTCAAAAGATGTGAAATAAATATATAAATAATGTTCAATATTTTGAACTAAGTATTATCCTTATTGCTATTAATGCTGTGTAATGTTTTCATAACTTCCTATAAAAATCGGATATGTCTCACTGAAACCATATATCACTAAAGTATCAAAATACAAGTCTTTACTGCCGAAACTCAAGGTTGTCACACGAGTACTGTGACCGGAAACAGAAATACTGGACCAAGTACAGCAAACATTCTAAAGTTATTAGGATTGTCAAAGTTTCTGCTAAATAACATTTATCTTTTTTTTATATGTAACAAGTCATTTTTTTGTTAGAAGTTTTGTCACTTTTAAAGGTTTAATTCATTAGGTAACTTACTAACAATCTTCGGGGTTCGATTTAATCAACTACGGCCAGGCGTTTCAGATGCTTTGCAGCCACCGTAGCCACTGGGAGACCTGAACCTGAACTTAATTTAGTGTAAATTACTCGCATAAAGTACAGACAATACTTAAGTTTATTATAATTAAGATGATATTTTATGTTCTTAAAATACTAGTCTTGAAGGAGCAATGCTTTTCCTTGAATTTATATTAAATTTACACGCTAACTTGTAGATAAAGTGCTTTACTCGAAATTTCCTAACAAACAGTTGCGGGCGCGTTGAAGTCTTTAAAGAGATCTAACCAAAAATATTGCTCCCTGAATGCTAATAATTATAATTAATATCAATGTTTGTTAAAGATGATAAAAGAAAATTTAACGAATTTTTTATAATGAAAAATTAAGATCAAGACGAAGGGAAGATTCTTTGTATCTCTAAAAGTTTAGCTCGTTGGCAACCCTAGGCAGATGGAAATAGAACGAGCATAGATGGACATTAGACACCAAAACTTATTAGCAGTGATAGTGGCTCGATAGTGGCCCAAGGACTGCAGGTGACCTGCAGGCCTTGTAATAAGGCCTAGGTACTACACCTGTACCTTAATCGTATGATACCATCGATATTTCGAAATGGCTAATGATTAATCGCTTTGGTGGCACTTGGACCTATATTAGTTCAGTCTGTGTATAGTTAACTCAAATTAAAATAAAAAACAGATAAAGTAAATTCGTATATAAAAATAACATTTTTCTGTCGCCTAAAGACTAAAGTTGGGTGTTTCGAATTTGGGTGACAGTCGTTGATACCGCCTGAGAATGAAGATCAGCGATGCAAACCGCGACGCGAACGCCGAAGCGATCCTTCAAGCGACTTCCGCGGTACTAATATATGCTTTTGTTTGGCCCTCTGTTTGCTTCGCTGGTTGCTATTTCACTAGTAGTTACCTTAAATATTTTCTCTACGCGAGTAGTACACATTTAAATAAAACACCTTAACGGTTTAAAACGCAATGTTTCTTACTTTTACTATTTGAAAATTATTTTAACTACGTTAAACCTCTTTAAGTTGAGTGTTAAAATAATTTAATATATTAGTGTTTCATTTAAATTTAGCATTAGTTGCTTGGCGTGTCCCTGTTCCATGGCTGGTTCGTAAATATGATGGTTGAGAATTGTGTCATGGGTTCAAATTCCTTGACAATCTTTTCTAATAACGGAGCAATCTATATTTTTTAAGCTGTGGAAACTTAAGTGGCACGTGCTCTAAATGGGAGACACGGAAATTGCATTATAAACAAAAAGTTTGTTGTTGTTTTCGGAGAAATCACTGCAATAGTTAAGTAATATCAGAAAAAAACATAACAATACGTAACTTTACTTCAGCTTTCTCTATTTTGTGAGTTTTGCCTCATCGAGATTGCAAAGCTGATGAACGAATTTAAAAAAAAAAGCATATACCAAACTAGAGTGGACGATGTGCAGTTGAATTGTGTTCCTATGTTGTGATTACAAGGTGTTAGTGTGTCTTTAGAGACCTATATTGTTTGATTTTATTTTATATTTCATACTCTTAAATGTAGTTAAAAACTTATACATAACAAAACTTCGTTCACACCCCTTGATGGCACAATATTATATTTATTTTTAAAAATTAATGATAAACTCAATTCATTTTCATAACGCTTAAAAATAAATATTTAGAAAAATTATAATTTAAATCTTTTATTTAATAATTACGTAATTTTTCATGCAATACTTCTGTTTTGCTAAATAAATTTAAAACGCGAAATACCTATATAGCAAACATTTGAAACTAGTAGAGTATTGCAATAACCCATAACATTTACAGTGGTATTGTTTTGATATTATCGATAATTTATTAGCTCTAGCTTAAAATATTTTATCGTTTGCATTGCAACATTATTAAACCCTTTCACTTATACAGTAGACATTAAAAACTAGAATTAAAATAATTATACCGCGGTAAACCACGGTTCGCGCTTTTCAACACAAATTTTATTTATCAAAGCGAGCGACGCCATTTTAATTTTTCAAGTAATGAAGTTGTAAAGAACGATGCTAAAACGTAAAATCCAGTAGCCACCAGTACGTAGTTGATTTGTTGAACTTTTTATCATTATAAGGGCGCTATGTTAGAACTAGGTATATTAAATCGATTGGTGAAACGGACATAGAATTGTGCTTCCCAAAAAAAAACTACTTAACACACATGATAATAATTGTCACAGCTGTTAACAAAAAGTGACCACAGAGTACAAATATTAATGTTGCCTTATTCGTGTGTTCCATTGTTTGACAGGAACAAAATTGTTAACTTTAAAAAAATGCGCTTGAGTTTAGTAACAATTTTTAAATTAAGTATAAGGTTAGAGGCACATACAATCAAAACTATTTCACTCAATAAAATAATTAATTTAGACTTAAATATTACTTAAGTAGCCTACTCATGACAATTATCTATAAAAATAGCTAAATCCGTCGTGACGAGAACTACTAAGAACCACACATAAATAATTTGACTCAAAACAATCAGACTCAAAATAAATAGCATCTTATCTCGTTCAAATTAGAACTATTATAGGTTTTTACAGAACTAAAGCTTCTCAGTCAACATAATTAATCTTTATTATTAGTATAAACGTTATGCGCAAGCGTCATTTAATGAGGAAGTATAATAAATGCATTCTTATTTACTTGACCGGAAGGCTTCTAAATGATTATACACGCAATAGTACTGCATTTTTAGGTAGAGTTTATTTAAATCTATGTTTTTAGATTGTAAGAATTAATTATACCTATATTTTAGCATATCGTTGTTTTTCGGGCTGCTCCGCCGACGTGAGCTCCTTCAGAATTTATTAAATTATGTATTTGTTGTTCAAATCTTATTTTTTAATTCTACTTAAGATAAAAATGTCTGTACACCCTCTAAAAGCACATATTACGATCTCTAATTGACATGCATGACGGGATGTTGCAAAAACACTTTTTGACAAAAACCATTACATGCTTATTGTTCGAGTCGTATTGTTCTTAATATGATCGTGAGTCGAGTCAAACGGCAAAAAACGTATGAAAAAGGCCATCCTGTGTACTAGTAATTTCAGCAGGTTATAAGAATATGTCTAAAACAAAATGTAAATGTTTTCCCTATTGTAATTTGATGTCTACGTATTGTACACGTTTGTGGAAATATATTCCGCTTTGATATGAAAAATAGACGTAAATGGATATAATTAGTGAGGTGTTCCTAACAAAAATTGCCCCAATATGTTTCAGGTTTATTTGATAAGTCTGAATTAACACTTAGACGGAGACAGTAAAATTTGTGACTCCTAAAGTATTTAATTATATAGTACAAAAAAGTACTTTACTTGTGTACCGAAATAAATCTTGTATTTTTTTACATATTGTGTTTGTGACTTTGTTTATATGCATTTTTATTATGAAGATTATGAACTTTAGTTTTCTTTATAAATGCAATTTGAATTGGTGAAAAACTGCGTATACGCGCAGTATAAGTTCCTTTTATGGTAAAAACTATATTTTGTAGATACACTATTGTAATAAATTGCAAATCTAAAAAGGTTTGAAGTAATAATGATTCAACTATTTTTATTAAAAATCTAATAATATTTTTAATTGCGTGTTATATTTTTATTTTATTGATGAATATATTTCACTACACACAGATTAAAATGTCAGACGGGACGGAGAGCGGTGCGGGTCTTGCTTGGCGATTGCTGGCAACATTAGAAGGAGGTTCGCTTTTCCTCGCCACTTCAGCATTAATAGCCTACACCGCTAGAGCCAGGGTTAAGAAGCATAAACGACACCGAAATGTCAACAGTGTTCTTGTAAGTGCTTTTACGATTAGGCAATATATAAAGCTGAAGAGTTTGTTTGTTTGTTTGAACGTGCTAATCTCAGGAAGTACTGGTTCGAATTGAAAAATCCTATTAACCTTTTGTTGGTTAGAGCATTTATCGAGGAAGGCTATAGTCTATGATACATTTTCCTGTGACGAATACAAGCGAAGATACACCGAGAAATTTGAAAAAAAAGAGAAAATAATTCATCAATTATGGGTTTCGAGGCGTACGGTTCAAGATACCCAAAAACTATGTATTAAAGAATGATTCCTCTTTAAATGATGATAGAAAAGCTATATGTCTATCTTTGAAGACTAACTTGCATGAACGACGGGAAGGGACGTGACCGATAAAGATGAAAGGGCTTTGCAAAAACAAATGGATGCCCAAAATAACGGTTCTCGCGAACTAAGTCGCTGACACAGCTAGCTAGCTTATATGAGATTTGCGAATTGCTGTATGTTTTGATGCATGTTTCGATGTGCATAAAAATATGACTGAACGTTAAAATTATGCGTTTGCTAAGGTGATTTACATTTCTTATTCGATTGAATATCTCGTAATCAATACATTAAAATGTTTTAGCCCTGTTCGTCGGTTGGTTGTAAACATTAAGAGAACCATTAGAATATTCAAACAAAAAACTTTTAACTACTTAAAACGCAAAAACAATAGTATCATTTACCTACATGTACAACTTACGTAAATCACAGACAATTCGAGGTAATAAGAATATTAAAGATTAATACGACCTCAGGCATGTAATGACACAGTAGAAAAAATCTTAACCCCAGTTTTGTTAAGCATCTTCATTGCCTTAATAATTGCACGTACGTTGTATTAGAAAATGACCTTCCTTTTTTTGATAAGATACTGCTTAGACGGGAGCTACTCAAAAAATATTTATGAAATTTTAAATTTAAATATTTTTTTTTATTAATTTATTCTAGGTAACAAATACAAGGAATGCCCTAGGAAGCGAAGTGAAACGCAGACTTGAAGCATGCGGTTGTGTGGTGCACAACTGCGAGTCTAGCGACGCGACAAGCGTTCCAGCCAAAGTGGACGCGTTGCTTGTCATCGGGGCGGAAACTCGGCCCGGTCTAGATGGAATTTCCGAGCTTGTTTCAGCTGATATTTACGACAACTTAAAGGTTTTCATATTGTCTATATTGGAGTAAATTATTAAAAAAAAAACTTGGAAAATTAATCGACGGACCTGACAAATCTGACTTCTACCTTCTAATGCTGATCAAATAATATTTATTGTTCAAAATCTATATAAAGCGCAAGAATTTCTTACTGTTTATATCAGCCACTGGTGATATTGCCAACTTCTTTCTATATTTTACTTTAATATAACTTATTACAGTTACTAGAAACTCTATCGTTGGTAGTGCAACGCGGCGGTTGCATCGCATGGGCATCAGCAGGTGCCACAGACGACGCCTTCAGTGAGGCTACACACGCTTTCGACGCAGTCATTCGAGCGAGTTTAAAATACGTGGCTAAGAAGTATAGATTTTGTTATTACGAAATACATTTACAAAACTGATAAATTCAGCCTTATTTAAAAACTGAAGTACAAGTCCATAAATATATATAATAGCAGAACCGAGGGATAGACAACTTAGATGTCACAGTCTAGCACTTTTTTATAGATTTACTGACAGTAATTTACACTAACATAACTTATTATAATCTGTATTAAAAGTACTAATACTCTTCCTCCTAATGTTTGATGTTGTTTTTGTTTCGTATCTATAAACAGAGCTCGATGTGAAGCCATCTGGATAGACAGAGACGACAGTGTGGAACGGGTAGCGGATAATGTAATCGCTACGCTTGTACCTTGCGACACCAGGCAGCAGAGAGTACAAACCTATCAAGTTAGGTCAGCCATTAAACTTAATTACACTACATAAGCACAGGATACTCTTCTTACTAATACTTTTTTATGTTAGAGAAGGACAGGCAAGCATGGACAGGCAGGCATTCACTTGATGGTAGGTGAAATACCCAAATCGTATAACATCGCAACAATATAATATATATGCTGTCAACGATTCTTAAATCCATAGACTGAAACCGAAACGCGATTAAACTTCACGGCGTCAAAATTTAACATGTTTCAGGAAAACTATAAATGGATTAGAAATATATTGGACCCGGTGTGGAGCGAACTCACGTATCCGTTTATTAATAGCCATACATATATTGCGAACTGCATTGTACATATTTTATTAGACTTTTTCCAAAATGACAACAACCTAGCTGACCTAGGTTGGTGTCATATTTACACCAAACGTGGGTTATACAACCAGCGCAAACTTCACAATGACAATTTTTTTTTTATTACAGAAATATTGCAGTACAAATAAGCAAATTTTTCGGTAGATGGCTGAAAATAATCACATAATATAGGTATTGATGGTTTGTAATTTTAAACGATATAGATAAATGTATAGAACATCCCTTAATACCAATGCATGTTGAACTCTGTACTTTGGTATGTTTGCTGAGAAAAATAAAATATTTTACGTACAATAACTGTGTTTTATTTTTAAATATATTTATTGCTAATACCTTATTTACAAATGGGGTAATTTCAATTACCAAAAGTATACGTAGTATGTAAAACGTACAAGTAAGTATATTTGAATTTTAAAAATAATTAAAACCCAATGCAATTAGAAATTGCATTGATTTGAAACATGGTGAAATTTGGAACAATCAAAAAATATGATGCGACAAGTAGTAGTCTGTACCAAGGACCACAGATTAATGCATTATTTGAGGGATCTCTTGGCGTCTGTTCTAGTGTCAACTGTCAGACTTTAAAGTAATTCGAAATGGAGCGTTGGACGTGTCCGTGTCCAAAATAAATAAAAATCTATTTATTTCTCGCATATAATTTCTGTCATGCTCAACCGAGACATTTGCTTGATAACAGGCTTATTACAATTTTGATTATGTTAATTTATTTCAAAGCCTTGCTTCAACAGCGTTCGCCACAAAAGTATGGAAGAGGTACGTTGAGGTTATTGTATTTTTATTGTGTCACAACATTATCGCAACATCACATGGATGTTGAAATGTTTTTATCTTATTCTAGGAGCTTAGCGACCATGAATTGGAGGAACAACTACACTCTGTGCAACACACTAGAAGCGTCCCTCAGCCCAACATAGATTTAGAACCAAAAAAATTTGTGTTTGATAGTGCCAAGTATCCTAAGAGTACCGTGCGTCGTTATTGGCACGCGAATGTTGACGAACCATCGCCTTACCGTAAAACGAACCCAACATACAATATTTTAAACAATGAAAAACAGACTAAAGCCCAAAACCCAAGCCAAGATTTAAACCAAAAAAAAAACAAACATCCGGAATCAACAACGGAACAAGCAACAAAGAATGAAAATCAGGCAAGACATGTAAAATCTAATAATCTATCATTATTACTATCGCCTATACCTAGCAACTTGAAGAAAACAATTGAAATATTAGACCATAATGATAGCCGTGTTGTGAACATAGAATCGAGTGATGAAGATGAAGTAATAGAGGTGGTGTTGCCTCCTAAGCCCACCATCACTATTGAGAGCTCTGATGATGAAGTCTCTCCTCTTCCTGATGTACCTCCAATAAATGGCAACTCAAAGACAACAGAAAATAAAATAGCTAATGAGAGATCAGTTTCATCAAGCCCGGTACCATCTATTGTGTCTTCTGTATCAGATGAATTTATTAGGGGTGACTGTATTGCTCTTAATATCTCATCAAAACACCAAAACAACCAAAGCTTTGACTTCAGTCTCCATGGTTCTGATCTTCTTGTGCAACCTACCAAAAAGAAAAAAAAGAAGAATAAAGAATTAACTGCATCATCAACACCATTGAAAAATACGGAAACATCAAAAACCAACACTGAGCCTTGTTTTGCTACACCTAAGAGCAAAGCTAAAAAGAAAAAATCCAAACAGGTTAGATGCGCGCCCTTTGAAGATGTCTATGATTCTGACAGCAACCAATCTATTATTGACACCAATAAAGCTCCGAACTATGCAGTAACTGATAAAAGTTTACCTAGTACAGATGTATATGAATCTGATTCTAATCAATCTGAACAGACGAAAGAGAAAAAGGACAATGAAGTGTCTAGTGAAGAAAGTACTCTAATACTTGAAAATACTGTTCCACCAGCTGAAGATTTTATATCCCTTGTCAGTCATTCCGACAGTATTGATTTGACATCAGACATGGCTATAGATGAGAATATTGTCATGGCCAATGTGACTGGCTTTACTGATGATGTAACAGTTGAATCTTTCTCAGACGGTAATCATTCGAAACTGGGTTCCACTAATATTCCAAAGATATTATCTGAAGACTTAGATTTTGATAATTTAAAAGGCTACTCTCAGTTCTGTACACGACGACGCTACTCAATAACAACACTGAGGGCTGAAATGGAGAAGTTTTATAATGAGAGCTGGGGAGGTGAAAACTTTAACCATAAAGAGATCCAGAAGTCAATGTCACGTGAGTACTGTTCATATCATATTAATTTCTAATTTTAATGAAAATAATTTATTTTATACAATATCAATTCATCAAAGGAGACCTATCATTCTTTACTGCGGGAAGTATTAAATGTGAAAATGTAGCTTTTCTTTTCTTTTGGGTTGCCTCATTAGTTGGTTGTATTAAAAAACTATATATATAGATATTTTACTGAGTCATAAGCATTAATTGGGACTGCTTTATTTTTGTTTCATTTCTTAATTCAGTTTGGTATTGGGAAGCATTAGTCAATTATTATTGCACTGCTTTGCTTATTTAATTTAAATGAGCTTGTAACATGTAATTTTGTATTTATTAATTATTTCAGTCACCAGAAAATACAAGGAAACTTTTTATAATATATTTTGTGTAAGGGAAATTGTATTTTGTCTTTGTATCTTTTATAACTCATTTTTGTCTAAGCATTCCCTTTTGTTTTGGATAACCTTACTTTATCTGATCATAGATCATCAATGACATTATGATAATGTGTATTGAAAGTGACTTTATATCAATATACTTATTTGCAATCAATATATATTTCAGGCGATAAGAGCCTCTGGGTTATTGACCCGAAGGACAAAATGCCATCCTCAAGAAGAAAAACAACGTAAGTAGAAAGATTACCCTTTTTTATTTTAATATGTGTGAGTTACTAATGTTAGAATATTGTACTTGTAAGACTAGAAATCCACATAGTCGAGTTCAATTTTGCTGGAAATTGAAAAACAACTAAACAGTAAGAGTATATTATTATTTTCCTTGAGTCTAATTGAATTTCGTTTATAATTTTCCAGCTGTAACTACTGCAACAGACCTGGACACCGTGACGACACGTGCCATTTCAAACCAGCAGTCTGCTACATGTGTGGTTCTACTGGCCACTATGAACCTCGGTGTCCACGCAAAATATGCGTCAATGTGAGTAATGTAACTTATAACAACTAACATTGTAAATAAGCTGAAACATTTGTTACTTCCTTACACTGAATAGAATAACCTATATATATAGTTTGAAATCTCCTAGACACGCTTCAAAGCAAGTGCCTTTTAAATTCACTTTTAAAACCTGTACTGTGAAGCTATTTTATTAAACCAATTGATTCGTTTAGGTAGTTAATAATTGAAAATCTATGACATTCTATAGTTCTACTAACGTTCCATGCAGTTTAATACAAGTATCACAGATTTGCGGCCATGCCAGTGCATTTTTAATGATTTGCTTGATAATAACCGGTTTGGTCAAGACCCAGCTTCCTTTGCGTGAATAACCAGTAACTGAAAATATAAACAGGAACTATAAATTACAGAAGTGCATTATTTTTTCAGTGTGGTTCACCAAATCACATTTACTCGAATGTGTGTCGTAACTGTGCCAACTGGCGCTACATTAAATGCGTGGAGTGCGGTCAAGGGGGTCATCCGGCCTCGCACTGCCCAGACCTCTGGAGACGATATCATGACACGGTATGTTCTAGATCAGATTATAAAGTTCATATATTGCAGTCAACTAGCACAACAAACAGATACATATTTATATTTCTAAGTTTCACAGATCAATTATATCAATAATTATTTTTTTTAAATGGTGTACTAAAATTAACAGCTATAAAGTGTGAGTGGCAAACTATGTCAATGAGAGTTTTTTATGTCAATATCATTTTAATAATTTCTAATTATCTGAGTTGATTCAAAAAGCATATGTAATTAAATACTGTCTGTAGTTTACGCGAGGAGTAAACATTTAAATTAAACACGTTTCGGATGCAAATCATCCGAAACGGCCGGGCCGGAGTTAAAAGTAATTTTCAAATAAGTTGAACTAATATATAGCGTGTTTGAAACCTTTTAAATGTTTTATTTAAAAGCATATGTAATTATTAAAATTTCTAAATTCTTATCTTTAATCTTTTCATACTTATAGAAACAGTTTATTAAAATGTCTCATATATAAAAATAAATTTCTTATCATTAGACAGTACTATTATAATTTACTAATGCAACCCAAATATGGTTTGCATTTCAGAAAAAAATTTACTAAATGAATAGCCAAATGTTTATTTCAAATTTTAAGAATACTTTAAAATTCTTTATATAAATATAGAAATTGACTTCTAGACGGACTTCAAAAACTTAGAAGAGAGCCGACAGCTGAAAAAACATAACCAGCAGTTCTGTAGCGGATGCACGCGACGAGGCCACCTCGTGCATAGCTGCAGGACATCTGTACCCTTCTCTGCTCTACCAATAAATTCCCCCTATGTTATTTCCTACGCACCACTCTACCCCTGTATACACAACGAAAATGCCAACCCTAATACACAGCAGGATACAACCATATCCTCGCATACCCAAAAAACACCTACAAACAAACGACAATCAAAATCTCCGACAGTCCACGAGACCCACCAGCCTAAGAGAAGAAACATACTCTCAGAATCTAAAGATGAAAGGTTCAACAAAAGTCCCCATAACAAAAACGCACAGAATCCTATCACTACCGAAAACTCTGATCCAAAACCAACATCTGATACTGCTGTAGAAGACCAAAGCACCTCTAATGTGGACAACAAAGGGCATATGATACAAGACAATGAGGTGTCTGACACCAGCGAATTAATATTTTCAGCAAGAATTTATTTAACAAAAGAAATCAGACAGGCCCTAAACTCAGAAGATGGTAAAATGTGGCTAAACAATGCCAAAGAGAAGAACCACATAATTTTGGAGGATGTCAATTTGCAAAAAGAATTTTTGGACATAAAGGGATCCATGGGAAACCAAGAAGCCTTTCAATCTGAACTTCGTGAATGGACTAAAGGCAAGCAAATTAATGACGCGCCTTCAAATATCAAGAACAGTAACACAGACAATTTAAATGACATCCCAAAGAAGAAGACAGTTCTGTTGCGAAAACTTAATTCATCAATGGATTCACTGAAGAAGTTTTTAGGTGAACCCAATATATTGTACAAGGAGTTGATGTTCCACCAAAATCGTCGCGGTGAGCTCTTGAAACAGAAAGAACTGAGTAATGTTAAATTAGGAAACAACAGAGACAACATAAGGGGGATGTTAAAAAAACTCAACATGGTACTACTGGGTCAGGCCGGACTCGCGGATGGCCTACACCATCTTCACCAACTCAACATGCTAAAGAACCAGATAGCTCAGTCTAAAAATATTACCGTCTCCGAAACGCTACGGAATGAAATAGGAAAGCACTTTCACTGCATCTTCTCAGCGTTGCCGCGGGACGACTACGCTGAGCTGGTGCAGAAGTACAACTGCATCAAGAACAGTGCTTCACCGTTCAAGAAGAAGAAAAAAGGCCCCTTCACAGTCCGGACGAAGCCAGGCACTAGCGTGACGCAGGTCAATCCGAAGAGGAATGAAGTATACCTGGAGATATCGGACAGCAAGAAGAGCCTATCAAACAGGTTCTTTAAAAGGATCACCTTGTTACATAGGAGGCTAATGAACTCTCAACCGGCTGACCCAGGTGCTCTTAAGGCACACAAAGAGCTTGACACAAAGTTACGTAACGGTATTGCTACTTTACAAAAACTTGATTGTATGTCCCCCAAAACCAAAAGGAAGATGGAGAAGCTTCAAAACCAAGCACAGTGCTTCTTGTCTTCTGTTTAAGGATATGTTACAAAGTGGTTATTTTAAACCCATGTGGTTGATGGGATATCGCAAATGTCACTGTTTTATTGTATGTTATTGTCTCTAATATAAGAATCTTTAACACCAAGCGCAGACCTTCAAATGAATCTAATGGTTCTATCAATAAATTTTTGCTTGAAACATTTGGTTGGGCAAGTGTTGCTTGTCTCCTTGGTGTTATTGCACCTAAATGTGCGTTCTGCATAAGATAAAGTAAAATATATAAATACTGTGAAATATGTATTTTTATTTGGTTAGACTACAGTCGATATTGTTGGAGGGGGTAGGATAGGTTTTATATTCTTCAAAGGGATCTTTATTATAGATTTTATTTTTTCTTTGCGATGAATGTTCTGCTAGCCAGTCTACAAAATTACCCTTGTACTGTATTGAATCTCTTTGGTACTGACATATCAATACCCTCCTCTATCTCTCTATTTTTTTGAGTAAGTTTCCCATCACAAGTTGCTGTGGTTCACTTTTTTGCAATGCGACTTTGTCACTTATGTGCAGGAAGCGCAACGTTTTGCGCTTCCTGCACATAAAAAAGTGACAAAGTCGCATTGCATGCGATTGACTCAACAAATCAACATTGACTTAACAGTGAGTAAATTAAAAACCTCAATCTCACATAGCTGTCACTTATACCAAAATGGCCCGTATGGATGCTATTTGTCAAAAAACGAAATAATAAAGTAGCAAAAATAATAAAACTATTTTAAGAGTGCAGGGTGTGAAAATAAAAAAATATCAAATAACAAAATGCCGAAATAATATTAAATGTATTTACAGTATCACGCGTATCTCAGTTAAAATTTAAAAAATTAATACTCCAAAAACTAAAAATTATTAGATTTACATAACCTATGATTTTCAGACTCAAATGGATTGTACGGTTGACTTTTTTTTGTTATTCATTACACTGTAAATTTGCAACCTACTACAATCACGATACATTTATATTAATAAGAATTTTAAATTATAATGCTTGCCTATTGTGCTGCTTATAATTTAATACCGCATACTGCAATCTACAAATAAGTATTTTTTTTAATTATATTTTTAAGTAAATTGCCTTATGATGTGTGCTAAAAAAGTAAAAATGTAATTTACCATATATGGCATTCTTTTGTATTTACTGTGTAATAATAATATGTACATATTTTAAAAACCCTTTTTATTTTAATAAATAAAAAAAAAAGTTTTTATTTTGTTTCATGGTACGTGACAGTACTCCATAATATATTATTTAAGTGTGGTAAGGCATCTTTTCTTTTCTGCGCATGGCCCTATGCGCAGTCATTTCGACGCTCTACATTGCAATATGCGGCATTTCCTCTACGTCATCATTTTCCTGTCATAAGTCAACATTGATGACATTGACACATGCCATTCTTGTGTTAGAAAATTTGTTTTTCCGTAGGTATTCTTACTTCTTATTTTGGTCGTAGTAAAATTAACTCAAAAATAATATAATATTGAAGGTTAATGCAACTATTAAAGTGAATACTTTATTTATTTCTAAAGTAACATGCACAATTCATGTCAATCCTATTTTATCATCAAATTATTGTTATTCACGTTTCTAATAAATATTGTGTCTTCGCGTCGAGTAAGTTTTTTATTATTTTTATATTTCGTTCAGTTAATTAAAGATGTACACTCATTTTACGTTGTAGTTTCCAGAGGAAAGTTATTTCTCAACGAATTATTTTGAAAATCAACAATATGTAAAGATAAATGCTGCTTTAGAAAAATTAACACATAGTAAGTCTTAATTTACGCTCTTTTTATTTTTACTATATCTGATATTGTAATTACTAACGGCTTTTTATGAAAAACAATGTAATTAAATCACATCATTGTGTCTATGTCAAATATGCATGAGCAACAATAATCAACTGCTTAAACATGTATAAATTATTTAGGGTTACTTGCATATACAATACACATTACAATTGGAATTAAAAAAATGTTTACCTACTTTAATATTTACTATTTCAGCACCACAATGGATAAAAGAATGGCCAGACTCGTCAGTGAAAATGGGCCAAGTTTCAGGCGTTGCTTTAGATGCTGCTGGCCAGGTCCTTGTCTTCCACAGAGCTAAAAATGTATGGGATGGCACTACATTCTCTGATAGAAATGTCTATCAGGCAATAGGCGAGCCCGCTATACCTCACCCTACAATTTTAGTATTTAATGAAACTGGCGGTCTTGTGGATATGTGGGGTGAAAATCTGTTAGTAATATTTATTTGTTTTTTTTTATTATTCCATCACTGAGTTGAAAGGTGATATACAGTGTAAGATGTTCACACAATTTTCTGTTCCAATGTAAAAGGAATAAAACCCAAAAAAAATCTAATAAATTGAGTAAGGCTTTCACGGCTATCAATCAGCATATCATTGTCTTATTGGCATATAACGTCGAGAACCTCTTCTCACTCACATCGGCCGAACAGCCCGAAAGACAATGATATGCCAAAAAAACCTGTTGTTATTTAAGGATAAGCAATGCACACACATTACAAAACCTTATAGGTACATAATATAACGGAAAGTTTTAACAATTAATCAATTAGTATCCCAGTTTCCCATAGCAAAAATACTTTATGATGTATGTACTTCGAATTAGCATGTTATAAGGAAAATTCAAATGTATATTTGAGTTTCACATAATATTGCTAATTAAGTAAATCTGTCAATTTGACTTTTATCATACTTCCATATTATTTGTCTATCCATTTCACAGTTATATTTTATTTAGTTAGGTTTAGCTTTTTATTCTCTCCACAAAAATTTGTTCACACACAACAATGGAAGTGACTAGAAATAACTGATCTTTTTTAGTTTCTACATCCCTCATGGAATAACAGTGGATGGGGAAGGAAATGTTTGGGTCACTGATGTCGCCCTGCACCAAGTTTTTAAATTCACACCTAACCTAAGAACTGAACCAGCATTGACTTTAGGCGAGAAGTGAGTTTTTATGTGTTACATTATGACTTTCAATATTGAAGGAAAAGCGTAACTTTATTACAAAAAAAAAAACAAATTTCAGATTTGTACCTGGCAATGATGATAAGCACTTTTGCAAGCCAAGTGCAGTCGCTGTCCATTCTTCTGGCGATTTCTTCGTGTCAGATGGCTACTGTAATACGAGGATTATCAAATACGCTCCTGATGGCACTAAGATACTGCAATGGGGGCGACGTATGTACTTTTATAAGACAAAAACATTGCAGAGAAAGTAAATAATTAAATTAAAAATTGAAATATTTACGACTCAGGGAGGTCTTCAACAGGCATAGTGAGCGTTCCGTGCTGTGGCTCTAACCAATATAGCTACCGAGTCCTAAATTTAATTTATTTTTATATTACTTTAATTTATATAGTGCCATCATGAAAAATATTAGTTTTCAAAAGTTTTTAGTTGAGTTTTTTTATAGAATTGGGCCAAACCCCGTTCACATTCAACGTGCCTCACGCACTGACAATCGCGGAAGACCAGAACGCTGTGTGCACTGCGGACAGGGAGAGGGGCAGAGTGGCCTGCTTTCGGGCTGATAATGGGACTTACATACACTCATATTCCCATTGGCTGATTGGTCCCAGAATATTCAGCGTGGCCTATGCCCCTATACAAGGCAAGTATTTGTGAGGTCAAGAAGTGTAGTTATAATAACTTATTTTTATTTTTCCTGAATGAGTAAATAAAGCATTCTCCAAATGAGGCAGTAAATTATTGTTGGACATAGAGTTGTCTTCCCGAATGATTCAAGCGAGTTTTGTGAAAAAACCTTTAATTATATTATGAAATCTATACTAATATCATATAGCTAGAGCTTTTTTGTTTTTCTAAGGCGCCATCTCCGGAACTATTAGATCGAATTGAAAAGTATTGTTTTGTTGGTTGAAGCATTTATCAAGTAAGGCTATAAAAAATCATGCTGCCACTAATAGGAGCGAAGAAAAAGTGGGAAATGTGGAAAAAACGGTGAATATTATTCATGTTTTAGGTTTACCGTTTATGCGCTACCATAACGGTTCAAGATAACAAAAAAAATGTCCGTAATAATCTAAATTTTTTTTTAGATTTCTATGTAAGATACTCACAAGAACCGTTTTCATGGTAATCAAAGTTTGGTCAAAATTTATGAAAGATGTCAGGCCATGCCATGTCAGCTGTATTAATCTAAAACAATCGAATTTCCAGGTGGACGACTCTACCTAATAAACGGTCCGTCTATGGGCGTCCCAGTGAGAGGTTACGTTATCGAATACACATCTGGTCGGCTGATACAGACCTTCGCTCCGGGTGCCGCATTTCACAACCCCCACGATATCGCCGTCACTCCAGACGGCAGCACTGTTTATGTGGTAGAACTGAACCCCTACAAGGCGTATAAATTTGTAGATGAAGGGCTGAAAAATGATAGCAGTGGACATGTTGACACGAAACAGAACGGCACATTGCACGCTAAACCCACTGCGACTATTGGTTAGTAGGTTTGTTTATGTCTGATATTACGGTAGCGTTTTGTCGGTTTTATTCCTAAATAAATCAAAATCTTTCAATAAGCAAAGAGTCTTTTAATGTTTTTCGTTATAATATGGCCCTTGCTACTTATATATAATGAGCTTATTTTTTTTATTGTTTCAATAAGTCTTTGATTTTTCCTACATATTTGAGAATGACCAAACTTTACTATATGACAGTTTTATAAGATCCTTGTGCTTTGTAATTTATGAGCGTTGGTTTGAACTATAGACAGGTTGTAGTCGTCCTCTTGTTCTCATATCAACAGATGTGGCATACATACATGAATCCCAATAAAAATGTATCACAGTAGGTAAATGTACTTATACTATTATATACGTTCGCTTTTTCTTATCCTCACGAAATTTTAAATTTGATCAGGATGTTAAATCCATTGACAGAAGCAAGCGGGGTGGTAGTAACTGGTGGCACGGCGTTGGAGGGGTGGGGCGGCGCAGCGGGAGGAGCTCTTGGCGCGGGGGGTGCGGCGTTGCTTGCGTTGGCGGCCATTGCGTTGCTAAACGCGCGCAACCGCGGTAAGCACCCCGACACTGAGCCGCTTTACGCACACAGAGACATGGATTAGATTAGATATACACTCACAACGTAAAGCCTTTACCTTTGAACTTAAAAATAGCAAGAACATCATTACTGAAGGTTTCTTAAGAAATCTATAAGAATTTCAGTAAAAAAAATTACATACGATTCCTAATGTTTACCTAAAAGTACACATCGCTTGATTTTGTGTCGTAGATTCCTTTATTTTATATTATTTGCCAATTATAATAAGTAGTTAGTGTATGTAGATCACAGTTGTAATTTAAGACACAATTATTATTATTTATTATTTTAACCCTCTTTGTCTTACTTTTAGACGTCAGTCCAAATATGGTATAAAATAGCTATTATTGTAATGTAAAGCAACTAAAACTACAAAAAAATTCAAATGGTGATTGTATTTTTTAATACAATATGCCGCTTTTGTTCTCAGTCATAAGATCTGTTAACAAAATGTTCATGATCTCTTCTCCATATTTTATATTAAGTTACGTAGCGTGTATTCACAATTTTGTTGTAATTCCATACTTTAAGTTACTCTCCATTCCTTTATATTGTACAAATGGATAAAGGCAGTATTTTTAATATAACTATATCGAAAGGACTAAAATAATATGACTCATTTCATTGGTACTGAGTTATTTTGCATTTATTGTTAATTTTGTTCATTATTTATCTTTAAGATCTTTCTAATCTAACTAGTAAAAAACAAAATCCTATGTTTTACGCTACACACATATTTGAATGAACATTATAAATACTGCTAAACTGTTAATGTTAAAAAAATTACGCTTTTTCTGTACTAAGTACAGATTTTAGCAATGTACTGAAATATATTTTATTTGAAATCGCTTTTGGTATTTTTATTTTACTGCACTTGCATGAATGTATTCTTTGAAGTACACCTATTTTAGTTTTCGATTTTCTCTTTATGTAAGGCACATTAGTTTTTTGTACATTATTATAATACCTACGCTTAATTCTTCGCTTTTCCGAAGGATATAGTAAGGTAGGTTTCTTTGTATGCTAGGGTATTCTTTATCCATAGCGTGAAAGAAGTATCAAAGTGTTGTCATAATAAAAATATGGACACTCAAAATAACTCGTTAAAAGCGACAAAGTTTTACACTATTCCCGCTGGTACTTAACATCATTTCACAGTCATATTAGGTTCCTATTAAATATCTATAATTGATTCTAAAGCTTAATGATAAATTGTACTTTTAAAATTGTGGAGAAACCGCGCTAAATGGAAGATTATTCCGTCATGCTATAGTATGTACTAAGCCAACTATCTACGAAAATAAATATATAGTCTCTTAACCTCAAATAACCTAGTATTTTCAGTAAAACTCAGGATCTATGTTTCTATTGGGTGCATCTGCCCTGCACGACTCTGGGTACCTTCATGGCAGGTAGAAATTTTTCAATTAATTACAATACAGGTCGCAAGGGTGTTTCTCGCCGACGGTGGGAGTACGGACACGGCGAGTTCAAGCTGCGACGTCTGTTGGACAGAAGACGGTTCACACGTGTTCACTCCGATGACTCGGACGAGGAACCGGCGCCGATGCTGCCTGCTCTACCGGCTACCGCATGATCTTACACCAATCAAGACGTCTAGGAAACTAATTGAGCGTTTTCTCACTAACTAATATCCTGTGTATCTTTTGTGTTCACTCTACAAATCAAATTTATAACGACTATGCCAACTGAAAGGTAATTTTAGCGCTGTGTATTTAAAAGGTACTGGAACAATAGTTAGTGTAAAATCGCCTTAAAGCGCTAAACAAAGGAAAGTAGGTAGTGAAATCTATTAAGTTACACTGGAAAGTTTTTAATTATAAATAAGCACAAGATTACTAAGACAGAACAGTTATACTTTGATTTTAGTCTATATGAGCAAATCAGAACAATATGTAATTCCTTTACGTGATATCTAAACCAATTAAAAATTTTCTCCTGATAGGAAAATTCAAGATGTTTTTCTAAAATAAAAACACACTATATGAGGCCTAAGCTACCTTCATATGTAATAGCACAAAATAGAAAACTCACATTTCTTTAATCAAATATATAATCATATTTTAATTCTAACGTAAGATTAAAAATTTAATTCTATGCTGTATTGTAAATAAAATCGCTTTTCTCTTCTTATAAATTGTGAAATCTATTTCGTCTATTTAACACGCATTTATTTTTCTAGTGTTAGTTTACTTATATTGTAAAAATTTCATCACTTACAAAACTAACAGTTTATATAACTACTGTTGTCCTTGTACGATTCGATCACGCTCGTATAAGTAGCGGCACGGATCTTTAGCGCTGAACGAATCCTGCGCAGAAGTCAAAAATAAGGCATCGAGGGCACAGAAGCGGGTGCGGGGCGAGTGAACGTCATGTGCGCTAGCATTGATTGGTTCCCCAATCGTGTTGTCTTTCTCGGACCAATACGACGCTCCGCTTGCTTCCGAGGTGCAACTATTCCCTCTACATTTCGTGCAGCGCTAAACATATGTGCCGCGACCTATAGACGTTAGAGAGAAAGAGACGACAGTACTTGCAAGATGTCAGCAAAAATACCTATGTATCGTATTTCTTGATATCTACTAATCTATAACTATGTATCGTCGTTGCGCTATGTTCTGTATATGTTCTATCCTTTTTATTTTTGCGCTAAACCAGAAGATTTAAAGATGTAACGTATTTCCGTTGTTAGGCATTAAATTATTTTTTTCGTCCGATCATTACGTGGTTTCTTGGCGAGATATTTGCATCGAACACGGGTTGAATTTCACAATGAATATCTGAAAAAAAAATCACATTTAAATAAGCAAAACCGAGTTACTATAGATGAAAGGTTTTTCTAGGGTACCTATTTTCCTTCTATTATTGGTCACTTTATTTTGCAATATTATGTTCTTTAGTTTAAAAGGTTTAGATTTTGAATAATTTTTTTGGATATATGGTTTATAAATTAAATAAAGTAACTATCAAATAGCATTAATATAACTTTACAATATTCAATTATTTAGTACTTTTATTAAATTATTTAGTAATACCTAACCAAAAAAATCTTAATCAATGGTTATTTTGTGTTGTTTTCCAAGAACTGTGCCAACTATCTAGTCATTTCTATTATATGTTAAATATTTCGGTTTCATGAGATTATACTATAGTTTTATAGAATTTATATATACATACTATATGTATATGTGTGTGCAATATGTGTATTTAATAAATGTTATATATTATGGAAAAGGATTTTATTTCTTCGGAAAGATATTCTATTGCCATTTCAATTCTTTGTATTAAAATAAATTATTAAGAATTTTTGACGTTTTAGACGCTAATAAATATCTTACCATGTTCCAACATATAGTACAGTCGATCTAAAAGAATTAAAGTTTCGACAAGCGGTGCGAGAGCGAGACGCAACGTGTAAAGAACGACAACGCGTTTCCAATTTTCGTGCGCGAGGTTGCCGCTCTTAGACGTATCCATTTTTGGTACAGCAAGCCGCTCTAGCGCAATTGCGCAGTAGCTGTTTGACAATTTTTAACAATTAATATTATATTACAATAGACAGAGGTCAGACACGTGGAAAGTTTCTTCGATGAGTGAAAGAAATTTATAGAATCTTTCCTTGGAATGTAACGTGGAGTTCGTGGCCTTCTATAACTTTGACTTTTTCAATAGTACTTCTATATACTTAAATTTAAACAATCACTTGTTGAAAAACGGACTGGCAAATTATTTATTATATTCAAGTATTGTCCGTGAGTACACATTTGAATAAAACACGCTAAACGGTTTAAATGCGTTTAGGATGAAGCAGCAACGTCGGGCCACACTTAAAATTAAATGTAAATATTATATTAAATTAGTCTATTACAAACTAAAATAATAATGTGTAGATGTACCTTACAAACGCCATATTGTCTGTATGTTTAACACTTCGAATGGGTGAATGTCGTAATTTTGGATCATGCTCTACTAACATACTTTCTAGAGCCGCTCGGAATGCATGAACCTGAAGACAGACAGAATGGTAATTATTTATTATACACTTTACATGTATATATTAAAAAGCTATTAGAGAAATGGTAATTATTACAGCTATAGTTAATATGTCTGGTTTCAGATAATAAATATGTATATCTTAATGCTTTGTTATATTATAATATATACTTCCGAGTTTCGGGTACCAAAAACTGTTGTGAATAACAGTTTTGGAAAGTATTTGTTAAAGTTATCATGTAGTGTTAACAACTTTGAAAGTTAATGATAAAGTTTAAGAGGGAGGTGAAGTAACTTAAGTCAATGAGTGCTGTAGTGCAACTGATTCATTTCCCATTATTGTTGTTTTAAGATAAATTACAAGAAAAGTATGATGCTTTGAGTGAGCATAACATTGGCATAGATTTAAATTTATGCTATAAAATAATTTTATAATGAATATACAGTTCTGTACATAAATTTGTACAGAAGTTTTTTCTAGTCTCCATGTACAAAAAAAAATCTTCTCGGAACATATCAATACACAGGTTTTAGTCCGCATAGATAATAAAGAGATAACATGTTTCTTAAATTAGACCAGTGGTCCTAGCGAATACACTACTATAGACACACTTAGCATTCAAAACCAAGATACAATTCCTTCAGCTTTATAAAACCTGTAGTGATTTACTACAATTACTTACTTTCAAATCATTATAATCTCCTTTACACAGTTTATCACAATACACTTCTATAGCATGGCAGGCAATTTCCCGAGCTGGATAGGACAGCTTATTATCAAATCTCTTTAGATATTCACTCATGGGATACCCCTTATTCAACTTCATATAGCAACAACCGACAAGACATATAAACTTGGCTTGGCCTGTCTGTACAAAATATTTGAGCAACAGAGGTCCTAAATCTCCACATGGATGAAGGCCTATCAGACCATGATAATTCAATGTTGCCAATATAGAGAGCTTTTCTAGCTGATCTGCAGATGCTAGCATTTCATTGCAGTGCACTGGTCGAGGTAATTTGGATACAATTTTGTTATCACAGTATTTTTTAACTGTGTATTCAAGTTCTAAGTCCAATTTCCTGTAATGAGAAAATCATATAAAAATAAATAGCAGCTAACAGTAGTTCTCAAAATATATATAAATTAATTATATTTGTTAAGTATTCAAAAATAGACAATAATAACAGAATAAGGAATTAATTGACAGTTATTAACAGAAGAAATAACAAAACAAGTAAAAATTCATTTCTATAAAAAGTCACCCACTTAAAAATACATACCAAAACTACACACCTAGCTTCATCTGTTAGTTGATTTTGACACTCGATGCCCACTGTTCGCAGACCATATTTATAAGAGAGCATTCGTACTAAATGTCCTAGACCAGAACCAAAGTCCAGGACAGCATCACAGCCAGTCTTTGATGCGACATCTTGCACAACACTTGCCATTAAGTTGATTTCATGACGTTTCTTTAATTTTACATGTTTTAAAAATAAATTCTTAAACTTAGGAGTATCACTTAACATGGATTTTTCTTCAAGTTTTTTATAAGTACCCTGTCTAGGTAAGCAAAGTGTCTTGATGACAGTCAGAAGTGCAAGGAATGATAAGGGTAGCATATGGCTTGTTGGTAGATCCATTAAAATGTGACCTAATGTTTTCGGATCTATATTATAAAAACTGTCTTGCCAAGATGTTGGCAGCATGTCCCAGTGGTTATCGACGAAAAAATCCTAGAACAAGTTCTACATTTATTACTGTATTTTTTGTCAAAGTATTAAGGTTACATAGTACATCAAGTAGTAACTTACCACAACATATAAATCTAATAGCCATTTATAGGTTTGTACCACTTTTAGTGAAGCATCTATAGCCGATCTTACAGTTTCCTTATGAGAATTCATTTTAGGAAATACTATACTAGTAGAAAACTTTAAATTCGTACATATAAATTCGGTTAATTGTAATTCTGTGGACTTGATACCTTTCACATGTTTAGTGGATCACCCTACAGTTGTACATCTTTTTACTTATAATGAAACCCATGTAGAAAAAGGTTCATGCAAATAATAAACATAATAAACTAACCCACTAACACTCTATGACTTTAAATTGCATATAATATTTGAAATTTTATTGCACATAGTTGATACTTGATAGTATTACTTGACCTTATTTGAGGACCAGCAGCTGTCAAGTGTCAAATAATATTTCGTTGTTTTTTAATACCAGATTCGGAAAGAAAAAAAACATTCAAGAAGAAGAAGAAATACCAGAATGACAATATTCTGACAACCACAGATAAGTATTAAAGTTGCTAAAAAGTAGCAATCGCGCTGTTAGATGCTTTTTCCACACTAATTCTAAAAGAAAATAGCAGATCCATATAAAGCATTTATTGCAAAAACGCTGCAAGTCCAATCAACAACCTTTATGTTTAAAAATAAAAAATACACGTATTCTACTTAAAAAATAAAACGTAAAAAAATACAATTAAACGTAATAATTTGTTGAGATTATCAATTTTTATACGAGATTCAAGTCCCAATAATTTGCACTGTACTTAAAATACATTGTATCGATACATTAACAATATGGCCACAAAAATATTAAAGCTAGCTGAGCAATTGTACATGTCTTTTACTTTCATAGCAAATTAATATAATAATATATAGAACAAGCTTAGTGCACAGGTGCCTCAATTCATAAATTCATGTAAATAGATAATAAATACATTATTTATAAACAAATTTTGTCTTGAGTTTAACTTATATTTCTTACCTTAATGTAATAAACCTTTAAACAAAATTTACTCAAAAAACATGAGATTCTTTGTACCAATGTAAGATCTTGAGGTTGAGAATTCGTTATAAATCTGCTATTAACACAGTTTTGGTCATTATAGGCTGGGAAACTAGGAAAAGCTTCAGTACAAAAATGAGGATAGTACACATTTTGTTCAATGACATCAATGTAATGATAATTTTTGGCTTCCTCATATATTTTGTCCTCTAAGGAACAAGGTGAAACTATATACAATTTGTAGTTCTTTTTATATTTGTGGTATCTCATTTCGGCATTCGTCAATATTTCATCTACATTCATAAACAGTTGATCCATGGGTAAAGACCCATATTTATGTAAAAATGTTGAGGGTGCTACTGTAAAACTATGTCTTGTTGTTCTATCTTGCCAAATCCTTGTAGTGCTCTCTAACTGTAGGAGATATGTTGGAATGCTATAACTATGTGTCGTTATCACATGCATATGGCTGCCGTAATTTCCCTTTATCTCATGGTAAAGGTCATTTACAAATGGATAAATACCTCCTTGGTGGATGAAACCAAAGAATATGGTAAAAAGAATGTTTAATCCATACCAAATTGTAATGAGGAATTTCTTCAGAGTTTTTAAATCCATGTCATCAGCATCAAATATATGGATACTATTGCCATAGAGATAAACTAAAGGTACAAGTATTGGGATGATGAAACGGGCTTCTTGATGTGGAAACAGTGATAAGACAGCAACAGGAACAATTGATGATAGCAGCATAAGGCCACGGATGCTTTGTATTCTCGGCATTTTGCTGTACTGGCCTCTGATGAACCTGTAATAGATACAATAATAAATGTATCACAAGATTGCCCAAAGTGCTAACATTAAAGCATTGGGTTTAACTGAAATAAAATTTTAATTTGGTAGAGCATAATCAATTTGAAACAGTGGGTATGGGTCTCCATGTCCTTTGGTCTGAGGCCTTTTGAGTGTGGAGTAGAATTATTTGTAACAGAACAGAACAATGATTATAAAAAAAAATTACCTGTATATATTAAGTATAACTGCACACGCTGCTAGAAATCCTAAGACATTAAAAAGCAGTGGAACATTCACAGCTATATGTAACCAACGGGGATGTATACCGTGTTCTGTCAAATTCCCCAAATCTATATTATACCTAAGAAAGTTAAGGGGAGTCACAACCCAGTTATTCCAAGAAATTTGAAGAGATTCGACATCTGCTAAAGTCAAGTAGCCATAATAAGCTGAATCAACAAGAATACACAATAAAACCATAGGTATTCCACATAGAATTAATGTAAATATTCGGACATGGAAATCAGCAAATCCAATTATTTTTGAACCTATACCTCTATGTAACCAGAAAAAGGTGGGTATTAAAGCAAATCCTATAAAGGTGGGCCTATTAAATATACCAACCACCACCAATGAGGCTAAAGTTAACACATAATTTAAGGAATGTTGAGGTAAATGTGTCTGCATTTTATAAATCTTGACTTTTTCAACTGGGCTAGAAGCTTCTTTATACTTTTCTTGTAAATATTCTTGATGATATATTACATTATCAGATTTTAACATACAATCTCCTACTAATAGTAGTAGAATAGAAAAAAAAATCATTTCAAAGGTATTTGAAAAACTGCGACAGCAATAAACTAATACTACATATGAACTTGCAAAAATTTTTAAACGGTTCCTATAATTTTGGCCATACATACGACATAGTTGGTAAAGGCAATAATCGTTGATTAATGAAAGAAGACATATAAAGAGCCTAGGTATGACTAATAGGAAATAAGGCGATCTTAGATCTATTTTTAAATAGCGTTTTATAAAGGGATTAAGAATCCGTATAATTTGAAGTGGTGGGCCTAAAATTAGCTTTGGTATAAACATATTTCTTATGGGAAACTTCGGATCAAACTCCCATGTTCTGGCAACATCCACATCAAAGGTATCACCTAAAAATAAGAATTCAGATTACTTGGAATCTTTGAAAAGGGTTAAACATTATTAATTCATCTAAGATGTATTAAAACTTTTGTACATTAAAGTAGCTTCTAGGAAAACAATGGACACTAGGAGTGCAGGTGGAAATTAGATGTGTGAAGAATGTAAGGCCTGCACTTATTGTATGGAGGTGCTTATAGGTAAACAATAAGTTTTAAATTGTATTTGTTGTGTCTGTATATTTAGTATGAACTACAACCAACCACTTACCAGCAATAACTTCAACATTTTGAAAATATTCGTCTGGATGTATATATCCTGTCTGAGGTAGTAGGGTTAGTGCAAACCGCAGAAATACGAGGATCCAGTAGGATAATGGTAATGGTACTGTATACTTAAACGTTATAGGTTTAAATATATTTGTCTTTATAAACATCTTTCATAGTTTATATTATTTACCGCACCATAAATAATTCGATCCTTGATTGTGCTTGCGCCGTATGGTAAGTCCATACACTACATTTTAGTCCACATATAGGGTCGATATATTTTTTTTACATCACAGTAAGCCCAACAATTATTTTGTACATTTAACTCATCATTATCGGCATTGTTCTTTTTGGATCACACAGTATAACGTATATTATAGTACATACAGCTGTCACTTTACGCTCCACAGGTTATATTAGTTATCAACTTTGAATCTTTTATCTGTCATCAATATGAAGATCACTTTGAAGACATTTAATTTCCTTTGGAAAATGGAAGCAGTCTCTTAAGCGCTCTATAAAAATAACTTACATGTTTTGAATTTATCATCAGGCACGACATCATATTGAACAAACTTTTTATTGGAATGTATTATAAGAATAACGGAGGCTCTAAATGGCTGAACATATGATTCCTTGAACAAATATATACAAAATTAGTAAAAATCTTTTATCTAATTTGTAATTGATACTTAGCTGCATTTTATTTCAAGCTTTAAAGGACTTCTTAATATCTTTTCTTTATTATATATTCTTAATTTACAGTACATTGTGTTACTTAGTAAAATAAAAACAAATATAGTTTGTGATATGATTTATTAACAATTAATATATTGCGCCCAAATTGAGCTTTTGGCACATTAATTGCCAATTCAAACATAATTATCTCAACACAAGGTTACTAAAAATATATATCAAAAAATGTTTTAGTAAAGCCAAATAAATAATAAATTTAAATAAACGTTTTCAAGGCTAAAATTAAAGTCAGGTTTTTAAAACAGGGATTTGCACGAAATTAACGAAACATTTGTAATAATTTCTTATATAAGTCAAAAATACGTAAAAAATGTAATTTTATTTTAAATGCACTTCACAACATTAGAAACAAACAATGGATTGTGTCCTACTGGTAATATAAATAGGGCATTGTGTCCACTACATGATAATATTTGTTATTAGGCACAGCTAAGTACAATTAATTACAAGTGAAGGCTTTTATAGTCATTATAGTACAATACACTTTATTTATATGCTTTAAAAATAAATAAAAAATGCTTAATACTTGATACTTAACACAACAAAGCCTTGTTGTAATATTATGGTCCCTACATTTTACATAAAGCTTTTATTAATATTTGTTTGTAGTTACATTTCCATTTTTATTGTCAATATGTTATGTAGGTCTATATTTGTCTGTGCAGATAATGTAAGCGAGTCTATCAATTTTTTTTACTAAATTAATATATAAATAAATAAATTAACACAAACGATAAATGTGGAAACATTCGGCTTGATGTATCAAACGCCTTTTATTGCATATGTATACCATCCCGATAGCACCAGGGCATTTCTTCGCCGAATTTGCATTTGTGCGCGTTATTCTTAGCGTCGTATAGTAGAGGATTGTCGATGTATGCGTCACAAGGGTAACACCATACAGATAGGTCAGCTAAGGAGAGTGATAGAGGATGATTTGTTGCCCGATAGTGGGCTCCCATATGCCCGTTAATATGTCGACCGCAAGCCGTCTGTGAAAGTGAAATTAAAAGATGAGAAAGATTTACAAAAATATTTGCATTTTTTTATGAGAGAGGATGATTTTTGGAACCTACCACCCACTTGATATCCATTGGCTTCTAAATCATACGTTTCATAGAATCAAAATCAAATAACTAATACAGTTCCGGTTTAAACCGTTAAAAGTGATTTATTTAAATGACTGACTTGTTTACAAAAAGTAATGATATTAAGTATTAATGATAATTAAATCAAACTTACAACATAACACTGTAGACACACCCAATTCTCCGCTATATGATCACAATCTATGCATTGAACGCCTTGTTCAAACTTTACATCGCCAGGAATCGCGTACAACGTATCCAAATGTGGACATCCCGGTAAAGGCACAACGGCAAACATTTCTCCATCAGCAATAGCTTGTATATTTTCAGATAAGAAATCAACCAATGTTCTCGGTTCTGTGTCCGGTGTTTCTCCCACTTTCTTTTCAGAACTACCCTCACTATCTGCTGTCGGACTACCCGCATTTTTCGACGAATTACCCGCCCCATCTAGTTCGTCATCCGTCCCGCAATGTATCCCATCTGAACACTTGCTGTGCAAAGATAAATTTGACAAACCATCCTCTAAAGACGTGTCTCTTGACACTGTCTCCTTCATCTTGTTCGGGACGTTTTCTAGAACATTCTCTACAGGTAGTGCGAGTTGGAATTTGAGGCTTTTCCAATACTTTTTATGCACTTTAAGCACACTATTGATGCTCTCTATGGCTGACTGGTGGCAAGTTAATTTAGGGTCGTAATAAAGGTTGGTCGGATCGCCCAGTAATGCTTTAGTACACATGACCATGGCATAGGATATGCTCGTCACATTGTAACCTCCCTCCAAACAGAGTATAACGCGGCCTCCCGCGAGCGATCTGAGCATATGTGTCATAAGGCCATAGCATTCTGGCGTCACGTTGCACCCTGGAATTTAAACAATTAGTGGCTAGTTTAATCTACTTAAAAAATATAAACAATATGTTAGAATTATCTATTACTGCATTTTATTTACAAATCCTTAATAATTATTTACTAACCTCCAAGTGGATCGCCCATACAGGCGTCGAACCCGGCTGACACCAGTACTAAATCCGGATTGTATTCGCGGGCTATGGGTAGAACTATTTGTGTAAAAGCTGCCATGTACTCCGCGTCGCCCATACCGCGCTAAAAATTAAACACACAATCACATAAATCCAGTAACAGAGAACACACTTCTATAGATTCTTTATAAATAAGGCCAAACGAAAGAGTTTTATTAAAAAACTAGCTATGCCAGCGACTTCGTACGCGTAGAATAGTTATTTTAGGCTTCAAAATTTGCTTTTACAAATTATAGCTGTTACCCACGACATCGTTCTTGCAAATAAATTTTAACAGATAGACATATACTTAGACTAACGCGAAAACTTTTTTATATAATTTAAAGAATAATCATTCTTTAATACATATTCCTAGAACCGTTTTCGCAGCGCGCACGCACGCACGGACACCCTCAAAGATAAATTGGTTCTATTAGATTATTTTCATTCGTAGCAGTAGTTCCCGTGATAAGCACATTTAAACAAATTATTTCTCTTTATATCTTAGTATAGAATAATCATTACTTTATTCCAAGGTATATTGACATTATACCCTTCCCCCCGACCAGTGCCGACAGCACCCTCCTCCGCGTCCTTTGAGTTTGGAAAGAATGCTCCGTTGTCGTAGCGATGTATGGATATGTACAGGATCTGAAAGTAATTGAAAATGTGTTGTCAGTACTTGCTCTATAGATATGAAATAAAAAACGATTTTTACCTAGCAAGATTAGTTATTGATACAATAAGCAGTTATAGATATAGCAGATATAGAAAAATAGAACAAACCTGATCATTATCGTACGTAATGCTCTGAGTCCCGTTGCCATGGTGGACGTCCCAGTCTAATATGAGTACGCGTCGTACATTGCATTTGGCCACAGCGTATTCGGCGGCGATAGCCACATTATTCAGCAGACAAAAGCCACATGGCGTGCTGTCATTCGCGTGATGACCAGGTGGGCGAATGACGCAAACACCCGAACCGCCTGTCCCCGATAGTACTGTATCCACCATCTGGAAAAGACATCATGACTGAAGTCTAATAAAACCAAAAAAAATGGAATCCCGTTTTCTCACATGGCGGCATGGGGCGAACACATTTGTGTGTCTATTTCAATATTTTTAAATAAGTTTAACCCATATATATATCGCGTTTTGAACCATTAAAGTGTTTTATTTAAATGTGTACTACTCGCGTAAACAACAGACGGTTTAGTTTGCTTGCATTATGGTTTATTTAATTGTTAACTCACTTTATTTGAATTATATTAACCGTTGTTAATCGTAATCATAGATAAAACCACAGAATATAAAAACCAATATAACCGTAAACAGGTTCTTATAGTGGCAAGTAGTTGATTAGATTTCCGTGCCCTGTCCGACGTTATTGGTTGCATGTTTAATGAATGGCTACAGTGGCGGTCTTACAAAACATTTTTTTATCAGTACTGTATTTTAGTGAAAATCTAACGTTCGTACCAGGTTTTATGTGATGCGTAAATCTTTCATTTTAATGTAAATTTATGTCAGTACTGGAAATAAAAAAACAACTAACTCCAGAAAACAAAAATGGATCTCATTGGCGTATTATTAGTGATTAACATCTGTTAATTCTGGTTTATATATGTTATTCATAGTACACAAATACTCTCCAGAATTTCAACTAGTTTTACACAAAACCTTTAAATTGCAGCTTTCAATATTTATCTTGCAATTATGAAAAATAATAAACATTAAAACAGAATCAAACCTGTAAGACACATCCAGCAGCGGTCCTGGCGCTCTCTAGCGAGTCCGGATGGAAGTAGACCGAGTCGTAAATATTCTTTTCGTTGTGCAATTCTCGCAGCTTCAAAGACGATAACTCTTTTAACCTGCGCACGATTTAATAAAATGGTTCAAACAACAAAACTATATTAAATTAGTATTCATAGTTCCGTAAAATAAATGGTCTATTGTTTAAGAAAAATATGAGATTTAAATTAAAACATGAAATGTATTAGTAAAACTTGACATATTATTTTAACTACTACTTGTACTACTCACGTAAACTACTCTCTGTACTAAGAAATTTAACACTTTTATTGATGTAACAAAGCTATAACTAACAATCTAAAAATACTTTTTTTACATTAGTTTTATTCAGATAAAGATCTGTTTTAATTCGTCTGTTGTAATTCGTAAGTTTGTGGAGAAGACGAAAGATGGCGCCCGCACCAACTAACTACTATTATTAAGCTCAGCAGCAATTCAAATTCACCTATTTAAATGTTTCTCTGAGTGCACAGCGAGTATATCTTCATCTGTAGCTTTTCTCGCAGTGACTAAGTGCATCCGATCGAGAAGACCAAAGTCCATATGCCGTTCGTGGATGCGCATGATTCGTAGCGGACATTCTACATGGCCTCTACAAAATAGTAACAAGAAATCATCTAATAAGTCGTTTAAAACACTGGCCGTGCTAAAACTTTCATTGAAAGAAAGACAAGGAAAGCAGTATCCTTTGAAAACATTAATATTTTTCACATGTTATTGCACACGAAGGCACTATATAATTTAAAAATCGAAAATAAATTGAAAAAAATTTCGACTCGGGCAGGACTTGAACCGGCATCGTCATTGACTCATTTTCAATAGTAAATGACTTCCCTTCGTAAAACATTTTTTCGCTTTGTTAAACTAATAAATATAAGAAATATTTAATAAGTATTAAGTTAATTTTAATTCTTTGTAGTGGATGTTAACAAACTGAGAAATGTCTTGAAAGGTATCGATTGCGCCTGCGCAGTTTTATATAACTTTTTTAATATACTTACGGCTCGCATATATTTGAATGTTTCAACATTGCTTTGTCGTATACATAGCAAACTGGATATTGCGCTATTCTTAGGTCAGTAGCTAAAACAAAATAAAGTCCGTTTTAAAATATCGTATCTTTATCGTATATTTTTTCTATCATGAAATCATGATTTTCACTTTGAGACACGGGATCATATGTTATCTAATGAAAGTACCTCGTACTATTCACGTATTAAAAACCACAATACCATGCTAAATCCAAAAAAATGGATTTACGTAAATGGACAGATATAATTATTGGTGTTTTTTTAACCCTGTGACAGCTGTGGCAATAACTTCACTTTATAAACATCGCGATATTTGGCAAGGCCATATTTGTTGTGGTCTTTTGCCAAGTTAGAAAAAATACACTATAAAAAGTTGTCATCCTATCAACTATCATTATAAAAGTAACTCATCGCAATAATGCTAAATCGAATGCTTATCATTAGAAAGAGAAAAAGTATTTAAAATGTGTATAGTCTCTACTTACTCATTTCTAATTCATTTAATCTCTCATTAATACGCCTCTTCGTGTCATCACTTTGTAGAGGATAACAGTCCCTCGTAGGAAATCTATCTGGTCTAGTTTCATCTCCCTCCCACTTTACAACAACCGTATGTTTGACCTTGTCTACATCAGATATGTTTTTGATATCGGAGTACAGACTGTACGTAGGTTGAAAGTTGAAACACCTCCAATGATTTCTGTGCGCGTATATACAATTGAGGATTGAATCGCGAATTCTGGAAGAGATAAAATTTTGTTTAGATCTAAAATTGGTTATAGACATTTCCTTCTTTTTTATGATAGGCAAGACAAGACTTGACGGAAATAAGCGAAATAACATCTAAAGAAGACACGCTGTCGATCTATTTTGATTTTGGATATTCAAACTAAAATATATTTTTTTAGTGCCAGCTTGTGAAAATGTTTTACAAATAGCATAAATAAAAGTAAATAATAAATCATTAATTATAGCTGTTTAGTCGTTCCGTCGCCATCACCAGTGATTAATATAATCAGGAAATAATGATGATGATGGATTTAAAACTGCAGTTAATTTCAACGTATAAAAATGCAATAAGACATAATTTTAATAAATAATAAAAACTAATATTTTTTGATAGATTATAATTTTAAAAATATTAGCAAGAACTTTATTTTTTTTAAATTTATATTACATCCTGAATACTCACGAATCAGTAGCTTCAGTAAGCGTTTCGCCCATGGGCGGTGGATGTCCTAAAAGCGTGCGCAGTGTGAGCGCGGCGCCTTCTGCCAATGATCTAGGGCAATACCCGCCCTCCAGCACCACACAGACTCGTGAACAAACGCCCATGAGCAAGTGAGTTAGTGTCGCGTAGCAGGCTGGTGTTATTTCCATCTCACCCTGGAAAGCCAATATATTAAGGGCTTATCTTTGCTCTATGTTTGATGTTGTTTATATATTTTTAACTTGTTGGTCTTGCTGAATTTAATTTATTTAAAAAAATTGTGTTTTTTTTCTTTGGCTATAGACATTTAAAATCGATTATATATAGCGTCCAGGACGTTGAACCGGCGTCCTCAACGTTCGTGCTGGAGCTTTCCAACGAATTGAGCTACCGTGTCCAACACCTCATCATTAAATTTTTTCACACATTTTTTTTAATAATGTAGGTAGATACCATCTATAAATAAGTGATATAGTCACAGATAACAATTTATCGGCTGTCTCGAAGAAGACATACACCTTTTAATATCACATATAACTTCTATAATACAAAACATCTCGCGGCAAGCTATTCTTACTTTTTCATCTCCAATCGCAGCATCATAACCGGCCGATACAAGGATCAGTTGCGGGGCGAACTGAAAGAGAGGAAAATATCGAGATGGGAGTAGTGCGAAAGAGACAGTACCTCCGGACAGCCGATCGCAGCGTCGTAGCCCGCAGATATCAGGATCAGCTCCGGTTGGTACTGTAGTTTGAAAAATTGAATTTTATAATAATACAAAACAAGTTAAGTTCAAACATTTTTAGTACATAAACGGTTTATTAGATATTTATGGTTTTGAAAAAAAAGCCACGCCACGCCAGTTACTATTTCCGACTAAGCAATAAATTTCAACACCTGCCCCTTTTAGATCGACTTCAAATGCTGATCAAAGAAATTACAAAAAAAAAATACTTTATCGAATTTTGTGAGATGATATATTTTAATATACCACTTCGGCTTATTCCGTCCTTCTGAAACCAGTTACAGACAAAACAGTAACCTGGTGCGCGACGCACAGGTTTCAATAAGTTATGGAAACAGCGCATGAATTCCTATTTGAGCCCTTAGCAAATAATTTTATTCCACATTTAGCACTGCTTCTTCACTTAGTCGTAGCCTGCTGTTATATCATTTTCAATATGAACCAGTAGTTTCTAATATTAGCGAGTTCAAACAAACTGTCCAGCTCTATTATCGCAGTATAGAATTAACTTTAGTACATACCTCGAAAGCCATAGGCAGAAGCAATTGGTACCATATAGCGAGGTAATCTGCGTCCTTCATCCCGATGTGATTAAGTGGCAGATTGAAGTTGAAACCCTCACCTGCGCCCGATCCGATGTAGTCGAAATTGGACTGACGGAGATTGGGCCAAAAAGACCCATGCTCATAGCGATGTATTGAGAAGTAAACGACCCTGGAATTAAATGAATAGACCGTTAAAAGTTAGGAAATGCACTATTGGCTCTATAATATATTGTCATTTGAATAAATAAAATGGTCCTCGAGTATTTTTCTAAAGTCAATTTATTCTAATAAAACTTTGTGTTAGTTTTGTAAATACCAACAACGAGAAACAGAAATCTTTCTAAACTCATATATTGAATTTTGCAATAAAATTTTTAAGAAAAGAAAAATAAAAATTACAATGCCGCTATAAAAGGTCGTTCATAACTAAATAAAACAAGAGGAAAATAAACGAAAGATTAACAACAGAGTTTATAGGACTTATGATAAGATTGACGGCGACATTACTTTTGAAACTATAGGCACCAACGTTTGCTTGATACGTAAAAAAATTGTTCGTGCACTATTCTAATATTAATAGATACAAATTTACCTTGGGTCACTATAGAACATTTGTTGTGTTGCCTGTCCATGATGTACATCCCAGTCCACTATGAGTATTCTAAAAAAACATTACCATGATCACTAGTTTACATAATTTTAAATATATGAACCTGTAAGTAAATAAAAAAAGTAATTGGGATGTGTTTTGGAGAAAAAATGGCTTATTATTCCAGAAGAGATGATATAAGCTGTCCAGAAGGCTTAAAAAAGCTGTTTATTTATTTCTTTGAAAATTGATAAGTAAAACATAAAGATAAACCTAGTTTTATAATAAACATATATTTTTACCACTCGTTTATGTTTATTTTATATATTTATATCATAGTAGATATTAACCTGTTAACATTGTGCTTTTCTATGGCATGCCGAGCAGCCAGCGCCACGTTATTGTAGATGCAGTAGCCGCAAGGCTCCGCCCTCATAGCATGATGCCCTGGGGGCCTCACAAATGCCGCTCCGTTCTGGACTTCGCCATTCATAACTCGATCTACTAGCTCTATGGTTGACCCAGCTGATAATAAAGCTAGCTCGTGTGTGCTCTGTGGTTATATTTTGATTAAATAAATATGTTAATTGTAACTCAAATATTTTATTAAGAGTTACCAAAACACATTTATTACATATATATTTTAACATAAGAAATTCCAACTGCTAGGCAGAGGATTTCCTCTCCCATTGGGCTTAAGGGCTTTATGACTGGTAATTTAGGCTAGCTTGGCTTAAAAACTACTGCTACTAAATTGATATCAATAACTGGGAACAGACAGCTTAATCTAGTCACCCTGTCTAATTGTCAGAATACGCTGATACAAGGTATTTTTTTTAAATTCTGATTTTCAAACTAAAAACTTCCACTAAACCAGGCCAGATTCAAATCTCGGACCTGCTGTAGTCGAGTTCACTGACCACTAGGCCAATGAGGCGAATATGGATGCGTAAAAATTATTATTAATCTGTTATATTTACCGGATGCAAATATATCGCGTCGTAATACGATGATATCTCCTCCAGATATTTAACATCATTGTTTTTGTGAGTTTTCTCCATCATTTCATACACAGATACATCATGTAACTCTAAAATCTTGTCCTTTGACGCAGCTCGGGGACATATTTCTTTGCATTCTTCTATCAAGTTTAGCTCCTGGCATCTTAAATAAAATCTTGGATATAATTTATATACTTAGTTAAATCTATATTGTTGGAAATCATCACAGAAGCATAAAAATAAATAAAATTAAATCCGCTTCTGATTCCTAAGAAACCATTACCGTAGTGTTTGTAAAAAATTAAGTTATATATTTTATATGTATAGGCAAACCTTAACATTGTTTTTGGATTTACCTATTAAGGACACTGATGAGTCGTTGAGGATTCTCTGGATAGTTTTCATCCCACAAACATCTATGCTCTGTCATGCGAGGTTCAGTTACAAATCCAGTTGGACCCTTTATTTTTGTTTTAGACTCCATTGTCTGTGGAACAATTTTTTTTTAAATAAATCAATTAAGAAAATTAATTCATTTAGCGTATAACGGCCCAAAAAATTGTATACAATAAATTTTTATCACAATCGTAAAACCAATATTTTAGTGGTAAATTCTTAAGATATTACATAACTTAGTAATATTGATATTTGCACTTACTATTTGATAATGGTCCTTTAAAACAGTTTCAATTGTATTTTTTTTCTTTTGCTGTGCTTTCCTTTTCCCTGTGACGACAGACGCCGATGGCTGTGAAAATGCAAAACACAAGTATGCTTATCAAGAAAACCAAGATAACAAATGTCAATTGAGATATACAATAAAATTATATTCTTTATATACATTGCTATGGCTTAGTGTTTATGGTATGAAGATTAATACTTGTGTAGCCAAATAACAAAATTATGTTTAATCTTCATAGCTCATTATAATAATATCATGAAGTCAAATCCCGTTTCACCTTTTAGGATATGGAGTGGAACATTTCTGCCCCTGTTTTACTGAGTGATTGTATTTATAGGCAAATATTTAAAAAGAGTTGTGTCCCGCCCAATCAAAATATTGTTTTCCCGGGATCCAATTGATATTCAGAGCCTTACATGCTCAACTCAATGCTAACCAACATGTTTTACCATTTAGTTATTTAATATAAAAAATTCCAAAGTAAAAATAAAGTTATGTATTATATTTTTTAGAGATATCATTGTGTGCCATTACATAAATGAAGTAATTTAAATAAAGGAAAACATTGTAAACACTGTGAATTAGTAGCATTGCGAGATAAGAGATTTTCACATCCACATTATTTAGCAACTTTACATACTCTCAATATGTAGGAGTATTCAACACAATAGGTATTTTAGTCATATAACATACTACATATATCAAGATGTGTAGGTAGTTTTGTATATTGAAGCTTACTCATTCACTATGGTTTTTGCAGATGATCACACACTATCACTGATTGTTATTTTTGACACCAATCAAAGACAGCATAATTGGTCCACACACTAAGTTGACCATTTCACAAGTTTTAATATTATAATATTGCATTACACATGAGTCTCACTCTACACTCAGTTGTAATATAAGACATAAAATTGATTGCTTGTTGCTTTGGCACAGAAGGTGAACAGAAGGAAGAAGAACTACTCTTATGTAATAATTAAGGCTACTCATGAGAGATAGTCTATTTTTCAGGGTGGAGTAGAAGAGACACAAGAAACAGGTCGAGTACATGGCAAATGTACAAATATGTGTGTATCCTTTTTAAGAAAAGTCATCCTCGATTTAAATATGATATGTTAATTGAAAATGTTTACATACTTTAACATTACCCGCGGTTCGGGCACGTGTCTGTATTTTTGCTTTTCTCGCTCCATTCCGAGTTACTATGCTCGATGCTGCTCGAGTTTTCTTCTCCAGGTTCGAGGGCCGACCGGGGAGCGGCGGTGTAGTGGACTGCCAGGTATAAAACCAATGATAAATACACGTACCAGAAATAACAATATATATAAAATGTAAATTAATCAATTATTCACCATTATTGTAAGCTTTTGGGTTACTGATTATATGTCATGAAGCGAACTTGTAAACTTTGTGCAATTTAAAATCATATATTATTAAAAATTGAATTATATCTGGTTCATTTGAGAATTTTATGTATAAAATATCACATATTTGTGTATAAAAACATTGTATTCCACACAAACCACAGTATAAACTATACAGTCGACAATACCTACTGTCATTGTAAAACTGACGTCAAGTGTCAAATTCATATAGAATTACGGATTCTCATTATGTCAACATAATTTTTATAATATTTATTCAGATTCCATATTATAATACATTCAATATTAAAATAACACATAATTACAATATAGTAAGTTTTACCTATTGTTTATACGTTTTAAAAATTAAAATTTTATTAAATTAATACAACAATGTACATTATTCATCTTACCAAAATTTTAGTTTATTTTTTATTCATGTACCAAGTTCAATGTAAACAAGAAAAAGAAGCCTTTAACCTCGTTAAAAATACGTATTTAATAACAAATTTTCATACATAGTTGATGAAAATTATAGTGTTATTCCTTATTAGTTGTACTTTACACCAATTTATTGCAGATTTTTCATACATGATGCGGTTTTTTAAACCAATATGGGTAACCAGTCGAAAAGGAGTGAGTACCTGGTCGCCTTTAGCAACAGCTTTTAATACTAGACCCACACATAGGCCTATATTCGATTCATTAAGGGAAAGAACTGTGAGTGAATTGATTTATGCAATCTCTTGCAATATGGATTAGCAAATTGTAATTGCCTTTTTTGTATCTGTTTATATGTGTAGATTTAGTGAACACAAAATAACTACACTAGCATATTGATATCTTATTACTATGTACCTATTTCAAAATAATGTTCAGATCTTGATAAGGAGTTTTGATATAAGTACATTGACTATACAGATTAAAATCTTGATGGATTTAGATTAGATTATGAAGTACTAGCCCAAAATCATTCAAAATTTAATTACGTAAACAAAAAAATAATTGTTTAGAGTAGAAACAAATATAAATAATCAATAAAAAATATCTCATTAAGATACAAGCCATACCTACATAATTGTAAAGTACTAGTTTATGGTTAAACTTTTACAGACAAGCATGTATATTCCAAAATATTGCAGGGCCTCTTCAATAAACCAGAGTTGACAAGTTTTGAAGGTTTTTATTCTCTTAAAGAACAAGCGATAGCAGCTACTGACAGACTTATAGAAGAAGCTGTATCAAGCCCGTCTAGACCTATGGTGGAAATCTTTGATGAACTTTCAGATACTCTGTGCAAAGTTGCTGATCTTGCTGAGTTTGTTAGGATAGCACACCCTCAACCACATTTTGCAAGTGCTGCAGAGGATGCCTGCATTAGTGTCAGTGGTGTTGTTGAGAAGTTAGTAGTATTAAGCAAGCTTAGGTTTTTTCCTTAGTATGAATTGGTACTTTTCTTTGCAAATATTGCATGAATTTTGTTATTTTCGATAATGTTATGGTGTAATGTGTGTTTTATGACTTTAATACTTTTTTTAGGTTAAACACACACAAAGGTTTATACGAAGCTTTGCGTAACTCAGTACAAAATGACACATCTGGTGATAAACACTTGGCCGAATTATTCTTATTTGATTTCGAGCAAAGTGGGATACAGTTGGAAGAAAATACCAGAAGGGAGGTTGTGGCTCTAAATGACCTTATCTTACAAACGGGTCAACAGTTTATGGCTGGTGCCGCAAAACCTAGAAGAGTGCCAAGATCTGTAGTGCCACAGAATGTAAGACAATTGTAAGTATGTAGTATAATTAGTAGTAGTAATTTTAAAGTATGAGTTGTATCTATTCCTAAAGCCAACGTTAGAGGCTGCTGTGCTTTTGAACAACAATTTTTATAAACTTATAATATGTTCTTTTCTTACAGTTTTAGTACAGAGGGCGATGACGTCATCGTTAGCGGCGTATACGCAGAGTGCGGAGAAGCGGCCGCGAGGGAAGCGGCGTACCGTCTCTACTTAGCTCCAGATATAAGACAGGAACAACTCCTGACAACCACATTGCAGGCCAGGCATAGACTAGCTCAGTTGTGCGGCTTTGACAGCTATGCGGACAGGTATATTGAATTTTTTACTACTAAGCTCTACATTTTTAATATTTTCCAATGAACAGATACAGAAAGATTCTTAGATTATCTTAATTAAACTATTGCATTAAGTTAATATTATTTTAAACCAAAAAAACTTTTGCAGAGCTATTAAAGCGAGTACAATGGAGACGTCATCAAATGTTCGAGAGTTCCTTGATATTTTGTCAGACAATCTACACGACAGAGCAAACATGGACTTCGAAGCTATGGCGAAAATGAAGCGACAGGAATCTCCTTATCAGGTGATTACCAGAATACAATAATTAAGTCTTATAACTTGACAGCAAAGACATAATCTCTATATTTGAATATTTTTGACATCACTAAAAGGGACAATAAATAAACCTGTTTTGTTAAAAAGTAAATGTTGTGATACTATATTTAATAGAGAGATTGAAAAATATGTACACACGCAAATCTCGAACTCAGAATAGACAAATTTCCGCCTCGATGTCATATGAGTCACCATAGTTCACATACCACATATGGGCATATCAATATGCATATTGATGTTTATTTTGCAGAATGAATTGATGTGTTGGGATACACCATACTTTACACACAAAGCAAAGACTCAGCTCCTTAATGTGGCAAACACAGATTTCAGTCCATACTTCTCGTTGGGCGGCTGTATGGAAGGCCTCAATATGCTTTGCCAAGAATTGTATGGAATCAGCTTAAAATCGGAAGAAATGTTGCCAGGTAAAGTATAAACAGAAAACAATTTAAGCTTGTTTTTTTGCTCGATTTTATGGTTACTATGTATTTTATTTTTGTATAAGGAGAGTCATGGGCGCCAGACGTCTACAAACTGGCTGTTGTACACGAAAGTGAGGGTCTTTTGGGACATATCTACTGCGACTTGTACGAGCGGGCAGGGAAGCCCCACCAAGATTGTCATTTCACCATACAGGGGGGTAAATTGTTGCCAGATGGAAGTTATCAGGTTTGTAGTATTGCTCCATTAGTATTTTCAATCCATAATCGACCGTTTTAACCATCAAGTAAAATAATTACAGAACCCAATAGTGGTGATAATGTTATCACTGAGTGGGGGACACCGGGGTGGACCGGCGCTATTAAGCGCTGGAGCTGTAGACAACCTTTTTCACGAGACTGGTCACGCACTCCACTCCATGTTGGGGAGAGCGAGGCATCAGCATGTGGCCGGTACACGCTGTGCCACAGACCTGGCAGAGCTACCGAGTGTTCTGAACGAGTACTTCGCTTCTAGCCCAGACGTGAGTACCTATGTATAATTTTTTTGACAGTATTTCGTAAAACCCTTATAAGATAATATAATTATAGTATAGTAAGGGAGTAGATTTTGTGAGTTTATCATAGTTTAATTTTTTCATAAAATGTTAACTACAACATCCAGAGACAATACAAACAAGCAATATATTAGGTACTCTTACTCTGTGCATGCGTTTTACTAACTTCGTGGCTTAAGCAATCTTAAATTATTTTATTGGCCTTGCTATAGTTATCTGACATTTACATTATAATTCCTCAAGGTGGTCCGACGATTCGCTCGTCACTTCCAAACACGGGAACCGATGCCTGAAGATATGTTGCAGAGATTCTGCGCCTCCAAGTATTTGTTCGGTGCTAGCGAGATGCAATTACAGGTAAGATTTTATGACAGAGAGGAAAGATATGTTAACTTAGTATAAAGTGAAATGTTCTAGGGGAATAACTTATATATTTTTTATGATAGAGTAGGACAGACAGGCAAGGGTTTAATTTAATGGCAGGCGAAATAACCTCGCTATATTACATCTACACAAGATGTGCTGTCGACCAAGTTGGGCTTTGGATGTTCAGTAATATTGTCACGGCCACCGCAACGTGTATTTATATGACTTTTTCATCTCTGGACCATTGTTTATAGACAAAGGTTGCTATTTTTTCAACCCGCCTAGTGTTTAAATTTTCATTCATTCCATTCAAAATCTGAAACGAATTGAAAATGCTGGACTCTAAGGGAGTCGAAAACTATACCCATCGATGATTAGCATTTAGAAAAAAGAATAACACGAGCGCGTAATTTTAAAATAATACTATGAATGGCACAGCTCTAGGTTAAAAAGAAATACTTTTTTAGGTTTTCTACTCAGTATTGGATCAACTGTATCACGGAGCGGATGTGTCGCAACAGCAATCTACAACACAAGTATTAAAGGGTGCTCAGCAACAGTGTTATGGATTACCATATGTGGAAAATACGGTAGGGACCCTTTTATAGTTTTGTTGTTAATTACGAGAATATATAATTATCGAAAAAAACAATCAATCAAATCAATATAAAGATTCAGTGAGCGACAATCTAAAAAAAAATATATTAATAAACACCAAAAAACATTTATATTTTAGGCTTGGCAGCATCGCTTCAGCCATTTAATAGGATACGGTGCGAAATACTATTCATATTTAATATCTCGCGCGCTCGCGTGGAGCGTATGGAGACAGAACTTCGAAGCGCGACCGCTCAGTCGCAGCGCTGGTGACAGACTGAGGCACGCGGTACTACGGCACGGAGGCGCTATTGAACCGCAGGTACCCTCACGTTATTTTTAATTCTTTAGTTGTAGGTGACGTTTATAATTTATTTTAGAAATTTAGTTTCTGAAGATATTGGTCGTTAGGAGGTACCTACAAAAAGCACGAATATCTATACAGCATTACTTAATTTAAATAAAATACTTAGAGTCGGCTGTATTTGGTTTACTCGCGTAAACCAATAGCATTACTTAAATTCTTCTCTATTTGTTAAATATAGCATCAAAGTAATAAAAATCAATACACACAGTCGCATACAAATTATCGTATGCAGCATGTGATATTTTGTATGGTAGCTCATATAATAAAATATATCTTAAAAATCAAATTTTGTTGATATAGTCTGTGTACAAATTTTTTCTTTTTTGTAGATATTATTACGAGACTACCTCGGTACAGAGATGACGCCACGTGCGCTTGCGACGGCTTTGACAGACGAATTGGATTACCACAGAGACCATATAGACTCAGTATTCAAGACATTAGATTAGCTATAGTGCATTTAGCAAAATACAACTCTGTAGAATTTTATTCACTGTGATCATAAAATTTACTAGAAAGATTGACGCGAACATTTTTTAAAAATTATAACACGAAATACAACAGGTGTATTGTAGCTTTTACAAGTAGATATCAAAAAAGTACATTTTGTTTAATTCATGTTCGTGTGCTGGGAGCAATTCTCAAAATATTGAGATTTTATTTATGTCTACATAAGTCGCAAACTATGTCAGATTTGTACGAAACATCTTTTTACTTTTTTTTTTGTCAAAATTATAATAAATGTTTAGTCATTCTTCAGTCACAATTGTCTTCCGTTAAAGTGATTCACTATACAGGTGACTTAGGCTTGCATGTGGATATCTTATATATCTTGTCTTTTTCATTCAAACATGAATAATATTCGGAAGGAAAAGAAATAAAAGCATTAAATAATTAATATACTCTCAATACAAATTAAGCAATTTTATTAGTGCAATAGATCAGATAATTAATAGTGTCTTTAGTTTTTTAAAAGTTTTTAAACATTGGTAGTCGGAAAGTGTGAACAAAAATATTAATCTATTTTAATTATTTAATTGAAATAAAGTTTTATTTTGTTATATTAACTCAGGGTTCTAAAATTCATTACTGAAATATTGCATTTTTTTTATTATAATGTAGCACCTGAGTGCAAAGTGTATAAAGACTTTACAAGTCTTTTAATTCTAATTTTTAATGTTTGTATTTTTTTATATACCGTTTAACGAAAGCGAATATTTTAATAAGCTTGTTTCTCACATGCCCTACTACTGCCTCACTGTTGCTCATGCTGAAACCTAATAATATGACGTCATTGTATGTACGTAGAGGGTTAAACTGTTGTTACTCTTTACAAGTAAATAAAATTCGAAACTATAAATACATACTTTTATTTGTCATCGCTTTCATTAAATGTAAATAAAAAAGAGACAACCTCTAGCTTGAATAAAATGGATGAGCATAGTATCATAGTCACGTTGGCTTCAATTGTATAAAATTTATCGACTAAACTAAACTGCAACCTACCACACTATTAGTACGGAATTATGTTTTAATGGCTTATCTAAATAGTTTGCAATAATAGTCGAATAGTATCTGTGTAAGCAACAAGTTTCGTTTCGCGCCAAATTAGCTGTCAGTCAATTGTCAATTTGAACTGACAGCTAATTTGGCGCAGAGAGTACAACAATTTGCTCAATTTTAATCAACTTGCTCTTATTGGTTGAGTTCTTTTCAATCAAAAACAGCCCTATATCATTTTTATAAATATATCCAAGCGTTTCTTACGCACGTATGATGTATAATTCACGAGTACTTGCATCTAAAGCTACGTTACATCGTAGACTTGGAGTAGAATTACTTTTATAACTGTTTTCACCAAAATCACTTGATCGATTTTCTTACTGGGACGTAAGCCTAAATATAAACCCAAGAAAGAAGGGAAGAGGAGCACAAGCTCCATCACCTTTGATCAGTCCTGATGGCTGATGTGACTGTTGTGGTACTACTCTGCTGTAAAATCGAGTATAAATTAATCTTATTGAAATGCACTGTCCAATTTACGTATGAATGTTTACTTAGGAAATATATTGCTATTAACAGAAATATATTTGTTATCTAGTGAAAACAGTTTTAAGGGGGTAGTCGGTGAATTGTCACAGAACGTTCGTGTACTAAAATTACGCAACGTAGTTGTATTGGTTGGGGTTGTCCTTGTCGCGTTCCATATAATCTCTATCGATAAGTGATTCTATGCGTTTCTTGAGGTCCGCGGGCTGGAAAGGAAACATTCATTTAGTTTGTAAAAAAACGAATTGTTTACAATTTTTTTATTTATGTATTTAATTAAATTTTGTAGGTTATGCCTAAATAAATGTATATAATAATTATTTTAAGATAACAGTTATTTTACCAAAACAATCGTATAGGGAGAAACCAGTCTGCACCTGATCGGAAGTTTACTAATTTCTGACCTTATTCTTGTTTCTTTGTTTTTTGTGAACTAGTATTGATATATGTACAAGGTCCCTTGAAAATCGGTCCAGCAGTTTCATAGACACAATAGCACACATAAATAATATTGTCATACCTTAACGGGGAATTTGAGCTGGTTATATAACTCCGAGATGAGGAGGTTGTGCGAGAGCGCCTTCCGCATCTTCATGACACGAACGATGGCTGCATCGATCTGGTACTGTCGGTCTTGGAACACGCGCTCTTCGGTCGCCTTCTGTTCCTCGCTCTGAAAATTTTATTCGAATTTAATAGAGTAGATAAAATACATTACATTATATGAACAAACCATTAAAAGGGCAAAAAGTGACTATAATAACCATTTATTTATTGGTAAGATATATAGTTTAAAAAGCAAAACATAGTTATGTAGTTAATAAGGAAAAACAAAAGAAAATAATGAATAATTCAATTAATTGGTTTATAATTTGTCTGAAACCTGTTTGGCTTCCTCTGAAAAGCTATGTATTAAATGGGTGTTTGGAATTTATCGAAATTCCGTCCGCGTCATGAACGTTTCAATTTCAGTATTTGTAAATAAGCCTAGAACGCATCTTCTTTATATGTTATATATGCTTGAGTACAGACAAATTATTCTAGAATATAATATTATGACAAAGTAAATCATTTAATCTGTAAAGGTAATAAATTAAGTACATCCCCTGTCTGTCCCCTGATCATGACATGGAGGGCAAATTCATATAAAATTTTACAAAAGAAGAAAATATTATATACAAAAAATCCCAACTGCTTTGCACTTTAAATATATTTTGTTAACTTAGCGTGAAACTGACCGTCTCCTTCATTTGTATCTGGTTAATCTTTATACGGAAGAGCTTGTTGGTGAAGTCCCCATTAAAGGTGAACGTGTCCGTATCCGCGACTTCGCGTCCGCGCGGACTCTTACACACGACTCGCGCTTTGCCGCAGGCCAGGGATTGCAGCGTGCGCCGCAGTTCACCTTCCTACAAACAGAAAAAGGTGCTAACAATCTTTTCTATACATACAAATAGCTTCATTATTCATAAATACAGAAGATATATAAATATTTGACTCTATATGTGAAAGTAAATATTTAATTATGTGATTACTTTTAAGGCCGTGGCAAAAATTACTATTTTATTGACCATTTTCAGTCTGAAATAATACCGTCCTAATATTTTTTTGAAAACAACAATTGTTGCATTTTAACCAAAAAACTAAGTAGTCTAGTAATACAAATTATTACTCGGCTATGGCTATGAATATCTGTTTATTTAACTTACCTCAATATTAGTATCAGCTTTAATATCTTCAAATGATAGATTATCTCCATCGTTGAATAGCAATAGGACTAGAGCTTGGAACAGCGAAACCTGCAACTCTTTGTTACCCTGAAATTTAATGAGTCCACCTTACATTGTTGGTCCAACAATTATGACGACAGTCTTTGTCGATAAAGTATTGCATTTCTCTAATCGTTTGCTATTAAAAGTATTCCTTTATTGTAGTAAACAAGAACTTTCAAAGTTTATGTAGCATTTCTTTGTGTATCAAGCAGATATCCATTTTATTAAAACGGTTTGCGTAATGCACTATCCGAGATCTAATATATTACCTGAGGAAAATGTGCTCTAAGCACACAATGACCAAGCGTGGGTTGCCATTGCAGCTTCCGGCCCGAGTGTTTAGCCAAATAGAACTTGGCGAAGTGTTCCTGATGCCGCGTCAGCTCCGCTGGAAGGCGTACGTCAACTGGGGGATAGGTCGGCCAAAATCCCATTGTCAAGATGTATACTGATAGATCCAGGCAACAGCCTTCTTGATTTGCTGCTAAATGCTGAGGGGAAAGACAAATATTGAATTACGTTGCAAAAGATACACCCGACCTCTAAGATCAAACAGACAATGACTATCCATACATGTGGTCCATACATACGGTCTTTTTCCCCCCTCGGGGCACCCTTGGTCGGGCGGCAAACACGGCGAGCGCTCTCGCGCTCGCCCAAAACGCCCGGTTAGTATTCGTGGCTCCATAGGAACACAATACGTAATAGTCCATTCAAAAAAAAAAAAAAAAAACGGTCTTTGGAAACGACTCCTAGAATATAATTTATTTGTTAACATTAATATTTTTATTTTATGTGATTGCACATGATGGCACTATATACATTTAAAATCGATTATACATTCTAAAAACATGGCACGGACAGGACTTGAACCGGCATCCACAGAGTTATGGGCTATTGTTCTAACCAATTGAGCAACCGCTGCTTAAATTAATCGAATTTTTAACAAAAATTATAAAAAATAGAACTTCGTGTTTCAAGAATAGAAGATGAATTACGTTGCATTTTAGTGTATGATATGTGTTACATATGTCATGATGTAATAAAACCGTGATATATCCACCTGCTTATAAGTGACATTAATATCCTTAGATAGCTCCATATCCTTGAACATCCCCTCCAGCTTGCAAGTAAATCCACCCCCACACTCTTGCTTCAGTTTGCTCAACATTGATTTCTCCGCGTCCACGGAAGCGGACTTTCCAACGAGCAAGCGCTTGGCCAAGTCCTTCTTGTAGAACGCCTCAAACACGTCCTTGCCGTGAATAAAACGGAACAACACCATGATCTTATCGAGAAGGCGTTCCAATTCCTCCTCGGTTGCTTCTTTGTTGCCCGCGCGCAGTTTAACGTCGACGAATTTTGCTGTAATTAACAATAAGTAATCTATAATCTAATAATCTATAACTACATACATAACTGAAATGACGACGATTTGTACAAAAGAAAGTTTATTTTGTTTTAACTGACAAAAAAGGTTATAAGGTCCAGCTGTAAGCTTTGCGTAAACGACGGTTATTCTTAGGTAACATAATTATTTTTTTATATTATTAGCATGTGAGACTCATGAGCTAGAAAGACACTAATACTTCAAAGTTAAATGCTTATTTGTTGTTAGATGACCGACTCACCTATAAGTTCAGCAGGTTTATTCTGCCGCTGATTGATAAAGAACTCGAAGGCCTCCCGCATGGAGTAGAGGAACCGGTCGTTCCTGTGGAAGCAGGTGGTCACAATATTGTCCAGCTGCTCCTTGAACTCCAGTAGCTCAGCCACCATACTCTTGTCTCGTTCCGGTTCTATCACTATTGTACGACCTTTTTTCTGTAAAGTGGAAACAATAAAATATTGTCTATAGTTTACGCGAGTAGTACACATTTAAATAAAACACTTTAACGGTTTAAAACGCGATATATTAGTTGAACTTATTTTAAAAATTATTTTTAACTTCGGCCCGACGTTTCGGATGCTTTGCAGCAGCCGTGGTCACGGGGAGACTCAACTTCAAATAAGTTTAACTAATATATCGCGTTTTAAACCGTTAAAGTGTTTTATTAAAATTGGAACAATAACTTAAAAAATTGTGGCATAACTTGTTAACACAAGGAACAGAGAGTTTTTGGAAAGAAGACTCAACTAAAACCCAAACATACAAACTTACATTTTAAATATTTATTTGCTCATGGTTCTTACCTTTATATACGCATTAAAGTGACTACACAGCTCATTCAGTCCGTCTTTAACTAGACTGAAGAGGTTATATAGAGTGGTCAGATCATTCAACCGAGGACCATCCATGAGGGACTCCAAACCCTTGCTCAAGATGCCAGTGAGGTGTTCACTAAGAAGTTGTCTTTCTACTGTGCGGATTAGTTGCCATCTGGAAACATATAATTACCATAATAGCCTGCATTGAAATTCTGTTGGAAACTAGAAATAGCCAATAGTTGTATATTATATTAGCAAGTAAACAGGACTTAGGAAACTACTTTACACTATATGATTCTGAAATGATAAAGATAACACAGAACCTATATGTCATTATGCATAATTTATGTGTAAATTTAATTGCTTAGATTCTCTGCCTGTGTACCTCTCAAATTGAAAAATTGTCCTCTACTCTGAATTATCCATACTTCTTTCTCAGACATAAACATACTATAGAACAGTTTTTTTTACCAAATAAACTTTCAGCTTATAGATAGGTTCTATAGTGAAATGACTTATTATATTGTCTATAATCTACATACTTAGTACAAGGATCAAGATAATGCAGTAAGCGTTCATTCTCTTCTCTAAGGCGTTTCTCAACGTGCGCTAAGTATTCAGGAACAGGCAATTCTCTCATTAGCCTTTGACCTTCCGCCGCGTAAAGACGCTCGGTTGCCTGGAGAAACCTATAATTTTCAAGTAAATGTGAATATTAAACAAAAGTACAAGGAAACCCTTAAAAAGGACATAGTTTCTCTACTATAATTTGAAAGGAAAACAGCTATTGTATGCTCTTTGAAAGTATAAAATGAATTTAGAACAGGTTAGTATTAAATAAATGACTTATATTAAATGTTACATATTAATAAAATTACTGTACATACTTGTGCTCAAATGCATCTTGATATATCTGTAAATCAGATAACATTCGTAGTAGACTCTTAAGCAACGAAATATCTACAGCATCTCCTCCTCGTTCCCTCTCAATCAGAAGAAGGAGTCCATCCACCGTCCGAGTTTGGATCAGTGTATTCATGGCTATGTGGTGTCGGAATAAATCTAGGCCCATGTCCCTAAAAAATAAGAACAGAACTTGCTAAAATGCTGCCTTCGACAACAAATCAATCTAAATTCCTAAGATTGAAAAGATTTTGGAAGTACAGAAAAAAGATGTAACATTAATAAGTGCTTTAAACATTACTTAATTCAATAACAATAACTATATAAATAAAACACTTTAACGGTTTAAAACGCGATAAATTATATAAACTTATTTGAAAATGATTTTTAACTTCGGCCCGACGTTTCGGACGCTTTGCAGCAGCCGTGGACATGGGGAGACTCAAATAAGTTTAACTAATATATCGCGTTTTACACCGTTAAAGTGTTTTATTTAAATGTGTACTACTCGCGTAAACTATAGACAGTATTTAACAATAACTATTATAAATATAATTAATATTGAAAAAGGGAGCATATAAATACTTTACTGTTGTAATAGGGGACCAAACAAGTTTTTTCAGATTGTATTCTATATAATGGTACACCATTTAAAGAACTGGTAGATAAAATGCTGAATAAGATATTGTTGCCCATCGTTAAAATATCACACATACCATATAGAATGTATACTAGGATTCTGCAATACATAGGTCCGGTCAAGATATAAGAATATACTACGAATCATAATCATTTGGCGACAATGAGCACGCCAGCAGTCGTCCATGCGTTTAAGGAACACCTGCCTGTCCATGCTCTCCGAGAGAAATTGTTCTATATTGGATTTTACATGTCCCTCTACAAGATTTGTAAGGTTAACATATAATTGTGAAGCCATCTAAAACAAAAATACATTTTTAGAAATATTACCAGGCTGCATTTAAGAGTTCTACTTTAAAATGGCTATATACCATATTTTTTAAATAACATTTCCTATGTCTTTTATCAAAGAACAGTCAGATTGAACACAAATATTTTTATTGATCATTGGGTATTGAACTCCTGACCTTAAGCACCAAAGTCAGGTGCACATACTGTTACACTAAGGTTTGAATAAGGATATTATCTGTATAATCTATGTTTATGTAACCTGTAACTGATCCTACTGCTCAATGTCATTATTTCTATATTTCATGTACTATATATTATAAAGTCTTGACTTGAAGCCAAATCACAGTGAAATATTCTGGCATAAACACTAAGAATGTGTTGGATTTAACTTTTAAATTAACTTTGCTGGCTGTTTTACATTCACCTGTGAGCTAGTTTACTAATCTGAATAAAAAAATTACCAACATTGAAAATAATATATGTTCTTCTCAACTCCTAGTTATTCTTGGTTTATATGTTGATAGTTGAGTCTGGGAGGCTTTAGAATATACTATAGTTGCATAAAACAAATATAATATATACAACTATGTTCAAGTGTGTACAAAAAAATATGATAATAGAGACAATTTTCTTTGTGTCAAAGATGAAAGGCTAGACACACATTTATTATTCTATTCTATCTGTTTTGTTGACTATGTTGTTTTCCTAAGACGTTGTTTACCTTATGACTGCACATATTTTCAACCGCCTGGTAAAGCTCCTCCAAGGAGTACGTTATGGCTTTTGAAGTCTGAATAGCTATCACAGCCTCCCGTAACTTGCTCCATGTCGTTTCTTGATAGTTTTCTGGAAGGTTCGGTTTACCTGAAACAGACACATTGCTTAGCAGATGTCGTGAAGGTTATGACAATAAGACAGGTAATGAACGTAAACACACTTTTAAAGTTCTTTATAACCAGTTTCTTGGTTGTCGCCCCAGGCTTAGTCATAGAGGACGACGCTAATTTTATTGTTCCATTTGAATTCGAATTCAACATGGAGAAATTCGATTTCTTTTCACTTGCACTCATATCGTCCAATTTTACTCTTTTCATACACTGGTCGTTATTACTGTGAGAGCGTTTTCTGCAATGATTTCCACCCTCCTCGACCAAAACTTGCGTTTTAGCTGTCCCCGACATAAGAAAGCATGTTACGGCCGCAGCCACAACGTAAAATAATGCAATTAAACGTAATTAAATACAAATTCTACAAATAAAAATAGACGCAATCAGTCGATATCACTAGCCTACATAAACCACCATTAAAATGTCTTGCATTTCAATGCATTTATGAAGAGGGCGCTTTTTCCAACTCCTATATTCGCTTTGTCATAATGACAGCGATGTCAAGCCATTAAATTTAATGCAGATAATTACAAACCACAGACTAAATCGTATCGGTTCATTTTCATGTTGTTTATTTGCGAGAGATGGCTCTATAAAACATTAATGCCCACTTAATAGACATTGATGTATGAATAGCAATGTTGTACGATTATATTGAATCTAAATTCTTCGAATAGAAGATATACAATACTTATACAATTAGTAATACGAGAAAATATTAATTTATTTATATGTTTAAATAATAACCGCAAAATATTAACTACGAAAATAGTTTTCTAAATTCTAATTGTTTTTTTTTATGATAAGGTTAAGATAAGACAATATAACTAAGCGTATTATATGGTGAATAACAACTAATAACTTATATTGCCAATATAAACATTTACTCGACATTTATAGTTACGAGACAAAGTCGCTTACCCCCAAAAAGGTTAGAATCTAGGAGCTTAGAATCGTAAGCCACAACGAAAATATAGCTTATGATTCTAAGCTCGTCAAGAAGATCGCTTGAGGACTAGCCGCAAACAGCAAGCGCTAGAACGCTCGCCCCAACATCCGGATAGATTTAGAGGACCCCGGGTCGATACGCCTTAATTAAAAAAAAAAGGTCTATAACGCACAAACCCGAATTCTGTGTTCGTGATTTCAGAACTCCAGATGCCCCTGACGCTGTGTCACCAGAGTAAGTGAGCCGTTGATAATTCAAACTAGTATAGGAGTATTATTGTCTCAATATGAATTTACCACGCCTGAACAAATTTTAACCTTTAAGAGATCTCACGTTTATTTAAAAGCCTTTAGCTTGTTCTAAAAATATTGCAATGTTGATTCCTGGGGTGATGTAGATATTATTGGCACATCTTAACTCTATCTATAGCGAAGGACAAATGTACCCTAATCGATATAAGGTTACTCATAAACTAATAATATAATATGTGATTCAATAACACAATTAAATGGCGCCTGGTTTTTTTTCTTTCATAAGCTAGGTGACCCAATGAAATTTGATAACTACGTACATTATGATTCAAATATGCTATTAAAATTACACATTATATATTTTTTATGGCATAAAACGGCTATCTATGAAAAGTTACATTTAAAAAAATGCTTCATGTTAATTGGCAAATGGCATTGCCAAGCGCGATACTTTTATTTCATATATATAGAATAAGAAAAAAATCGGAAATTATATTACAAATCATATTTGCAAAGTACATAATCCGCATTTGATCGTTTCAACCCACTATAATTTATAACATGATAATGGTTACTACAATTAACTTGTATTGTGATCCACTTGCGATCAACCCTCGCCTGCAGGTTTTGGCGGGGGCGTAACAAGTGGCGGGATGCACCCCGCTCTCAGCTTCATTCAGTGTTCGTCCATTCACTTCGCGTCACGGACCACGCTGGAACCACGCATCGAGCGTGGGCGTCCGGTGCACTTTACGCGCGCATTTTGACGTCAGTGTCGCTACTGGCGTAACAATAAATACGTTTATCTGTGATTTTGATTAAAAACTTTTTGCATGAAAAAAGTATACGATTCAGTTAAAATTGATAAATAGATTAAAAACTATTTCTAGTTATTAAAAATATTAGCTTAAGAGTGAAAACGTTAGCTTGGTGATTTTTAAATTTTGTGTTATGGTAGTGTAGTCGCGATGGGTGAGCAAACGTTTAACATTGCGGATGACAATTTGGAGCAGCATATAGTGACTTTGTTCGAGAAATTGGAATGTTTACGTAGGGATGCGAACTCGAATGACACAAACTTGTCTGGCCGTGTACCAGCCAGACTTGAAGTGCGGACTTTATCGCTCTGGAAGGCCGTTGTAGCCGAGTGCGCTGCGTCGTTCCTCTATGTTTTTATCGTATGTGGTGCAGCTGGTGGTGCGGGCGTAGGTGCATCTGCCTCAGCTGTGCTACTTTCCACTGCTCTCGCTTCCGGCTGCGCTATTGCTACTTTGACTTTGTGCTTCGCTCATATTTCCGGTAAGATAAATCGTTCATGGTATGATTTTTTATCTGTGTTTATCATAAAAAAATTAAAAGGAGAATTCTTTTTTTTCTAATTTATAATTTTACACGATAGGTAATCAAATTGTAATCGTTCATGGGAGGAATAGAAACATTTCAATAAAACTCCGTAATTTAGACGTAAACATAAAAAAAGACGAAAATAAAATATACATCTTTCTAAAGTTCATAGAATTTTGATAAAACAAAATCCCACTAGAAATACAAATTACAAATGACGGTAAAATTATTATTAATACATATATATTCGGTATAAACGTGTTACCATTCTTTGGTTGTATTAATAATTAAAGGATATTGCAGAACTACCTGAGTCGATAATATTCAGTATCTGCATTACATCGCCGCGTGTTTTGTACCGGTTACCTGCGCGTCAACAAGCCAGGTGTTCTTTGTAATTTATTCCTTTTTTTGTTATCTTTATTTCGGTGCATTCTGCCAATATACTGCAGAACATCGTACGCCGTACAAAATGAATCCCATAGGTACAATATACTTTAATTATACTATATCGTATACAACTTTAAGAGGTGTTTATTGGAAAATATTTAAAGATGTATGGAATGATGGATATAGAATAACTTGTTCCGAGTGACTGACTGATAGAACAGCGTACGATCTAGACATTTATCTAAAATTATGGGTATCTTTTACATAAGAAATTGTTTTTTAATAACGCGAAGATAAATATTAAGGAATACATCGTTATGGAACCTTGAATATTGTATAAAGTTGAGGCTTGAAGTAGGCTTAGAGAAAAATGTTTTTCGGTAACACAATCTTGTCAAAATTATTCATTTATTTTATAGTTAAACCCAAAAAAAACGGAAAAATTAATTCACTTTCAAAGTTTTGTTATGGGTTTATTTTATGCGCGAAAAATAAAAACAATACTTATATTTAAAATAATACAACAAGTGAGCTAATTTAGCATTACTTAAAACATCTTACTCTTAACTATATTTCCAATCCGCACTTCTTGACACAATCTTCAATGTTACATATTGAAGTAGGTATATAATATAATATAATGTTAATAAAATGCCCACGTTATTACAAAATAATTTCGTAAGTAAAATATGCCCATCTCTTCAGATTAATGCTAATGTGATGTGCTATAAATATTATTTTAAGATCACACACGTGTTACCCTTTCACCCTTTCGCCCTCCCTCATATTTATAACCTCGAAGGAACAATGCCATTTTAAATTATATTAAATAGAGGACGCGTGTCCAACAATCGGACACTAATTTTGAACTTATAACGCCGTAATAAATTTTAAAAATATGGCGGACGTCACCCTAATTCGCTTTAATGGGTCATCCCTAATTTAACTTGCTCTGAATATGAGAATCAATAAAATATAACAGGAAGTTTGTAACAGCTAATATTCCTTGACAAACGTGTGTTATAAGGATTTATTGATATCGTTTTCGATTCGAACAGCCGATTCTTAAAACTTGAAGCGATCAGCAGGACGCCAAAACTCTATTGAATGATGTTAGCTGACTGTCTCTCGTTTTACGAGCTGCCTACTTAGTAGTGTAATTCTAATGTTATAGCACTCCTTCGGAAATCCACAGACTAAAACCGAAACGCGATTAAACCGGTTTTTAATCTGTGGACAGTTTCATTACACCATCGAGCCCGAAATATATTAATTACAACGAAAGCCCTCAAAGATGGGTAATTTTATCCACATTTTCCCGTTTTATCTACATTTTCCACTGTTTATTTTTGTATATTGTTTAAATTTTTAAATGCGAACCAGTAGTTGCTGAGATTACCGCGTTAAAACAAACAAACAAACTCTTCAGCTTTATAATATTAGTATTGGTTATTGATTTTAAACAACTCATGACCACGTCTCCCCGTGACCACGGCTGCAACGTCGCGCCAAAGTTAAACATTTTCAAATAAGTTTAACTAATATATCGCGTTTTAAACCGTTAAAGTGTTTTATTTAGATTTAAAACAAAATAAATTGTCGATACGCACACAGTAAGTTATGGTGCCGCAGGTCTGACACGACGAATCCGGACCTTTATTTAGGTAGAAGAGCGCGAGGTTCACTCAGGAAATATATAAAAAGCTCATTATAATAATACGTGAGAGCTTTATTCCCTTGAAGGGGAATAAAACCGACCTTCTTGCGGAATCTAGGTAGCAATGACAGGCAGCCGTTTTATTATAATACGCGGGAAAAGAAATAACAGAGTGGAAGATGAATAAAATCCAAACATTTGTCCTCAATGTAACGCTCGTGACGCGAATTCGCCATAACAATAAGGCCTGATACAATAAAAGGAAAATGCACAAACCATCTTAAATATTCCCGGGGCGATGGAATTTCGAAATGGAAATTGACTTTTAAGACTTATTTGTGACGTCTTGAGCTTTTTTTATGAATATTTCTGTGCAAATAGGTCACTGGTTTGCGGGGTGACATTACCAATTATGGACAATAGCAAGACCCAACCTGAACTGTTAATATGGAATGGAATATAAAGATAGTGCATCTTCTTCATTGTTCCACTGGAACTATCATTTGTTGGTTTTTGAAGGATTTGAACCCAGGGCGCTTAAAGCTTTTCTAGTTTCAATCATTGAACCATGAAATGTCGAACAGACAAACAGACAACGTTATTTTAAACATTTATTAGTCGTTGTCGTAATGTAATATGACGTTATTTTCATAACGTTATTCTGTACAAAGAATACATTTTTTATCTCGTATCGCACAGACGCATCCACGCTTTAAACAAAATAATTAATGCATAACCATCTCCATTTACCCGTGTAAAATAAAACTAATCTTGCAGAGAACACTTCAAATATTAAAATTAATTCCAGCCCAACTTCTAGCCGCTAACGACGCAGATTGCCACAGATTACAAAAATAAACAGTAGGGACATTATAACCCTTTTTAAGTTTCAATACGAATTATTACAGATTAGTTTTCAAATATGCTTTTGGAAACTTAGTAGCTTTGCAAAATTATAGCAAAAAATTGTATAGTCATTGTTTGGTATAGGCTGTTTAAAACATATAATATACAATTTAATATATATAATATAGAGACAGAGGCATTCCTTTCGCACTTCACCGTATTGTTCACTGTTCTAATCAGTCTGCGTCTGTGCTCTAGTGTAAACTGTAAACGTATGCAAATGCTATGCACTTTGTACGTAATTGGCCGTCGTTTTACGAAATTATAATATTCCGCATAGCACAGTCTGCTCCTGTTATGCGCAGACGTGCTTATCGGTACATCCAAATTAAAATTCATGAAGGTGTCATTCATGGAATTCACGTTTTTACGTGAAAAATCTCGTTGAAAACCTCTGCTGCATGTTTGCACTGTAATATGTTTTTTTTTTAATTTGTGTCTAGATAAGAAACTGACGGATACCAAAAGTAATATTTGCGATATTGTACAAATCCTATGAAATCACAATATATTCAACTCCAACAAGGCACAAAAGTAAAACGAAAATGTGTTATTGAGTTGTATCTGCAATTTACGCTACTGGTACTACAAATTAAATACGCGTATGAAAACTGTCTGTAGTTTACGCGAGTAGTACACATTTAAATAAAACACTTTAACGGTATAAAACGCGAGTTATATTAGTTAAACGTAATGGAAATGTATTTTTTATTAACTTTGGCCACGGCTGCTGCTAAGCATCGGGCCAAAGTTAAAAATAATTTTCAAATAAGTTTTACTAATATATATCGCGTTTAAAACCGTTAAAGTGTTTTAGTTATACGTGTATGAAGTTCTAATTGAAGCCTAATCTAATATTATGTAGTTTATTATTGTTTACCGATGTACAAAAGTCTATTAATTTTGTTACTTCGGAAAATTACAAAATGTATAATATATTCTTGTAATATAGTATGTATGACAGTAAGTAGGAGATTTTTGATCTCGATATTTTTTTTTCACTTCAGGTGCCCATGTAAATCCAGCGGTATCTGCTGCTTTATGCGTACGTCGTCGTGTATCGCCTCTGCGTGCAGCGCTCTACGTAGCTGCACAATGCGGAGGCGCTATTGCAGGCGCCGCAGCGATTTATGGGTAAGTGAGGGTCATGACAATAATATAATCTATGTCTTTAATATTGTCTATGTCAAAACCTTTTTTTTTAAGTAATGCAGGCTCATTATCAGAAGCGAGGTTTTATACTAACTGTTGTGTTGTCTGTATCGAGTTGAACCACGCATTAAGTCTGTTGTCAAAACATTTGTCGCCGTATATTAATGTCGTTATAAAGATTATCAAAGATATCGTTTTGTATGTTTTCAGTATTTGCTAAATTAAGGCATAAATAATATAGATAGTATTCAATAACACAGCAAGATTATTATTTAGTGAAGTTTACTGTTACCAGTCAAACATCCCGAGAGGTTTATGCAGTTTGTATTAGCATGTTTGTGTTGTGTTTAAGTGGAGTATGTTAAACAAGCTTCTATTTGCAAACGGAAGCTGAAACTCAGCAGATTCGTTGTTCGATCGAAAGCTGAATGTGCAATTTGTCAATTTCGAATTACCTTTTGATTCGTAGCTAGAATTAACTTTTATATTTTATTGACTGGTTCGTTCGACATATAGCGTTGTATACTGAATAGAAAAAACTATACCTACAACGATTTTGCAGTGTGACAAGTGTATCTCTATTTTTGCGAATATTACAGTGTCACAAATTGTATAAAATTATATTACTACTAAAAAAACAATGTTGAAAGTATTTTACTCTTACCATATAATAAACCCTCTAGTAATTGTTACCCTCTTTTTAGCACGATGATAAGGATAATAGCAATAAGTAGGCCCTTAAATAATTATGTTAATTAAGCGTATTGAATTACTATTTAACGGGAACACTCATACAAAAATGCAATATTTTGCCTACTCTTGCTCGATATTTATAACTGAAAACGATTTACAATATACAATTTGTTACTGTTGTTCCACCCCGACAGACATGAACGCCTACGTCTACTATTTATTCTATAACTATTACGTATTACAGGTATAATTGTCGATTATAGTGTAAAAAGGGCAAATGCTTAATGCACAATGATAGGTATTTACGATTGTATGTATTAATGACGTAAAAATAGCCAAAATTCATTCACATATTTGCTGCAAATATCGATTGTTCAGCTAAATTGCCAACGATTGCAAATTGTACACTTTCCACTCACAATACAAAAAGATAAACGCAATCACAGAAAATAAATACGAGAGGGTTCGTATAAAAAATGAAGCGCGCTAAATTATTATTAAAAGTTGTACTCGTTAAAAATTTTAAAATTATTCCGACTCCCGTACGGATGTTATTTACTGCCTTCTGAATTGTACTCGTGGTGGATATTTAATTTTTAACGACATAGTTGCAACTGTAACACTTTTATTAACTTCGCGGTTCTATATTGCTGCAAATGAGATATACTCTGTGTTTGTAGACTCACAGAATTGATAATACTAATCTATCAATTCTTTAACTTCTAATTTCAAACTAAATGAGACCAGAACTTGTAAATCTGTTATTTTATAAGAAAGTCAATATTAACTGTGTTTTAAACCACGTGATATGTCGATTCAGCCAGCAAGTTCGGTGTCCATGCGTTCGTTTTGATAGTTATCCACTTCAGTTTAGCCTTCAACATATTCTCTTTTTGTATAATGCTTATTATATTAAAAAAATACACAGTAATACTCAGTACTACACAGTCTGACACACCCCCCCCCCAAAAAAACCCCCCCCCCCCCGGGGGGGGGGGAACCCCCCCCCCCCGGGGGGGGGGGGGGGGCCCCCCCGGCGGGGGGGCCCCCCCGGGGGGGGGGGGCCGGGTTGGGCCCAGCGTTTCAGAAGTCAGTACAAAGCTGAAGTGCCCACCCCATTCCCCCTTAATTTGCAAAATTCGGGGGGCAAAGCCAGGGACTGTAGTTCTTCCACGGATCTCCTCATTCGATCATGCAGATATATATATCACATGATATAACATTGATAAAATATTCACGTTGAAATATAACTTTACGTATTTACATATAAAGAGAAAAAAAATATTGACTAGTTCCGATAACGTCAACAACTTTCCTTCAATAAACAATTCGCATCTCGCATCATCCTTATCTAAACATATTGGGGACATGTGTTTATTTACTTAAGGTACTATCTTAGTGATTGACTGTGATATTTTTTTAGACGACTTATACATATACCTTAATATTTTCTTATGATATAAAGTTGAATAGACTGCTGTGCCTCACATGATCGAAAAACTACTTAAGTCTGTATAACACTTTAACCATAATGACTCGAAGGCGGTTTCCCATAGGACACAGTTATAACTACTTATAATTTCGTCTGTATATAAGGAAATTTAATATTTTTGTTGATTATCGACATTACACGAAATATATGTTGTCACAGTGTAGGATATTACCAGACAATACTTTTTTCGGCATATATTGAATTCAACAACATCTACGCAGGTGGGTCTTGAATCCCGCTACAACGTTCCGTGCTCTAACCATTTTACATCCGATAGTCTTAATAGGTTGGAAAAAAGATGATGACGTATAGGACACGGTAGTTCAATTAAAAAAATCGTACTTTTAACAGACTATACGAGTATACCCTTGTCTTGTTGCACCTGGCTGGTGTATATAAAAAAAAAATTGCGCATACTATCTTGATCTAAAATTCTTGAACATTGGATCTAGTAACACGAGGACGTTTCGAAACCCCTCAATAGCGCCACGTTAAGTATCAATTGAGTTTTTAACGAATATTGTAGGAAGCATAGTTTTTAATATAAAATTTACTTTCCGCATAAAAGTAATTAGAATTATGTAAATAAATAAATGATTACGTTTGGCCATTAGATATACTATTATTATACATAATTAATGAAATGACAAGAATCATTTTACGAATTAATTGCAAGCTTGGTTTCATGGAAAATTAAAATTAGATTACACGTTACGTTTTATGTTGGAATGTTTAATAAAGTGACAAATATATCTTGTTGGTAATTGAATTATTCTCAAAGGTTGGTTTCAGTAAAGTATATAATTTTATAAAAAAATATTAATATAAAAACGGAGACATAACCCTGTTTTTTATTTCATTTAAAATGTTTTCTCCGAATTTGACCCTCTTACTCTAGAAAGTTACAGATCTATGAATTACACTCAAGTATCATTATAGCTGTAAGTAAATATTTTTCAAAGAAAGTGATTATAAATTATTCAACTGAGGTATGTTAAAAATATATTTTCGTCGCTAAAGCAACTAACTTAATTGACAGAGGTGAGAGCTACGGAAAGTGCTTGACACGACTAGGATCACAATATATCTACGTAGGATTTACGCTGCCGAGAATTCATGTCATACGCAGAGACCTGAAGCTTTAAATTATAAAGTACCTACGTAATAGTCTTTGCAGGTGGATTTTAAGCTTACTTATTTTGAGCCTACCCTTTTTCGTGCATTGCTTAGCATTACGTTTGTGTAAGAGGTCCTAGATTCAAATTTCGGTAAACATTTTCTCGTCAACGTTTAACCATATTCCGTTGGACAGACCGCAAAAATATGATCAACTAATTACCTGTAAATAAATAGTAACTTGAAATAAAATGAAACAGACACGAAAAGGTATTTTGTTGCATATATAACGTAATACGTAAGTATCTTATTATTTTGGTAACAATCTTAAGTCTGTATTTTTAGCACGGTTTAATATTTCAATATACCTACATTGTATAATATTATACACTATACTAATAGTAGTGTCATAAATATAAAATTTGGCAGTTACGTTGTTTTCGATTTACGTATAAAGCTGGCCAAATTCACATCTATTGTTTTTTTTAATTCTCTTAAGTATTGTTTGTATCTACGTCTATTGTATATTTTTTTGAAGCTAAACTGGCAATACATTGTTCAGAGGAATCTTGATAAGAATAACGAAACGAGTGAAGGGCTAAGGCTATCGGTGAGCCCTTAAGGCCCTATCGCTTACCTTTTCTGCTCACGTCAAACCTTTATGGAGCATGTTATTTTATTTTCAGTGCAAGTTTTATTAATCTCATGTTTAATGAAAAAGGGAAAATAAATATATTTGAATTATCATAACGTTTACAACAAATAAACCACATTTAATTACGTTATAACAAAAAGCGCTTTGCAATACTAGTGAATTTGAAGGAGTTGAGTACGATTTTATTTTTCACATATTTTACAATTATTGTGTTATATACTAACTTCAATATGATTCTTAATAGTAAATTATAATTAAATAACAAGAAAAAAATTAAGTTGCCAGATGTAATTCACTGCCTCTTTCTTGGGTTTAAATCCCGGCGCGTTTTTTTTGGTCGGGATTGGTAATGAAGTCGATGAGCATCTTATCAATACTAACAGTGCTAAGATTTCACCTCACATCCAGTGAACCCCATGCTTGCCTGCCCTCTTTCCCCTATCATAAAAAATCTAGTCAACAAGTTGTTCCAAAATAAAGTCGACATGGAAAAACGCCTGCTGCGACGGTAAACGCGTTACACTTCTTAGATACTGCATCTCCGCTAAAATACATAAAACTTAAATGTATTTGAATAAATTTAAGCAAGCAATTGTAACAGAGATGTTGAATATCGATCGAATTTTTCGTCGAAAAAATGACAAAATTCCCTTACCACGAGGGCGAGTTAAAAGCATTTCAAAATGACGTTTTGTCACGCAACAGGCAACTGTAAATTGAAAAAAATGCATCCCGACACTCCCACCTGCTCTAAAATATATCAGTTCTCCCGAACAAAGGTTATTCAATGAATTGCACGGTGAATTCACAATACTTGCTACATTCAATGAAATTCTACCTGAGCTGCCATTTGTCCCCGACCCACAATAACGAGACATTGGCGCTTTAACGAACGTCTCCTAAAATAATTCCGTTATTTTACTTCTGATGTTGACTTAGTAAATTATTGATTATGCTGTAGGTGGCTTGAATTGGGCACTTTAGTATCAAGTACTTTCGATTAAAACACTTATTTACAAATTTAATTTAC